ACGAAGTGCTTACACAGATCCACCAAATCGCGAAAAATGGCCGCCACAGCTGAGGGGATAAAATTAAATAATAAACAAAGATAGAGGAAAGAATATTTATAATAAGGAGGTTTTGTTCCGAAAATTTTTTTTTAGCATTTAGTGTTCTTCTTTCAGTGTTACATGTGTAGTGACTGAGTGATAGTAGTCAATGGGTAGAATTGCCCAGCTCTGGGTAACAAAAAATAGACTTATAGAAAATAATTAGATGTCAATATAATGCCCTTCATGGTAAATTATTCAAAGAACTAAAAACATTTTTCGAACATGATTAGTATTTGTAAATTTACAGAAATATTATTATTTTCAAATGAGAAACAATTTACAAATATTTACTAGGTAAATAATATTGTAGACAAGAAGTTACTGTTAGTATCTTTGTTTACAATTAATAACAAAGTGAAATAAATACATTGTGGGTAACCGCAAGTCTTACTCATCCTTTGTTCGATTGAACCAACTTGTTATACATTTACCTATGCACAATGAACGAAAGTACAGGCTTTTAAACCAAAACACCATATTAAGCAGTAATTTAGATACTTCACGGTGTTTTACAAATCACTAATCATATTAAACAAACGGAAATCTGAAAGTGATGTGGGTTTCGCAACTAGAATAATTATATTTTCTCTAGAAATATAGTACTATAACTTGTTCTTGTGTACGTAGTTTCATTCAATATGACAATCAAATTTAATATCACTCACCGAATTGTTGAGAATTCACTAGAATCGTCGCACAGTTAAAGGATCAATAACACTACGTACTGCAGAGAAAATAAATTATTTTCGAAGTACAACCATAAGCTCAAATAGAATAGCAAAGCACAAACAAAAGATACCTACTACACAGGAATATTTTCCCGTGCTGACATGACATTGACACATCGAGAATTGACGTAAGAGTAGCCACAATCGGATAAGTCGACTAAAATGAAAATAACATCTTAGTCGATTACTAAAATCTGCCAACCGAGTACAAGATCTGTAAAAAGGTGTTGCCTTTTAGACTTATTCCAATATCTCAATCGTAATTTAAAAAAATACAAGGTTTTGAATACACGTCGTATAATATAGAAGGGAAAAATTAAACGAGTTCAAACATAATTATGCTCTTTTATTCACATACTTACTATTATTTAAAAAATATAGTTACACATATTGTTATTGTATTAAGTTTGCAAAAATAAGCGTTGCTGTGATATGCTATGGTAAATGAGTTTGTGAGCGGTCGGAAGCACTTTCTGTTGAATCAGCTGCGCCATTGGGTATTGGCTCTGGCGTGCCAGATGTCCCCCTAGATGTTATAGCATTCTGGCATTTGTTGCGTAACTCAAACACTTGAGTAATAGCGTCTCGGAAGCACAAAAAGTTGTAGTCTATCACACCTGAAACCAAAAACAAACGGTTTTCCAGCTTCCAAGACTGCTTTTTTGTGACCCTAGTTAATTCGTTCTTAGGTTTTATTAACTTTTTGTTCTTATATAAAAACATATCCTTCATTACATAATATATAATTTTAGCATATTAATCATTTTGCTTGTTAATTCATACCATCTTACAAAAAATACATTAAATAAATCATTATTTACCTTGTTTTTGGAAGTTTTCTTCACGCAAAATGCAAACGAGCGCAAGGAATTTGTTGACCTCACGAAGATACAGCACAGTACCATTGTTCAGCTTTATTAAACTGGAACTTTGACTGTTAAATGTATTCACTTCAGTTTCATCAACCATGCTGAAAATTAAAGAATAGAAAATAGTACACCTTACTTGCAACAATATTTCATGACAACTATATTTGAGTATTTGGAAGTATTTAAAAAAGCAATCTTACCCATAGATACAAGATATATCAATAACAACATCAATCATATCACAGCACAGTTCGTAACTTTGCATGTCAACTGGAGAACTATCAGTTGCAATGTAGATCTTAGACACCACATCAAAAAGGAATGCTTTCTCAATGCCAGAGTTCTGTAAGATCAAAATATTTTACAATGAACCGAACATCATAAACAATTTATTATAAATTAAGGACCTGTCTTATAATGTTTTTGTTTCAAATTATTGTGTCAGTTAAGTTGTGACTTTTTGTTGGTTAAGCTACCAGCAAGTTGATAGGACATTTTGAAACAGGTCCCTAGTCATAATAATTTCTTACAGATATGAGGATGTTTAGAAGATTTTCTAAAGTTGGTAATTGCGGGATCAGCTTTTGTACGACTTTACTGAAGGCTTCAAATATTGAGTGGTCATATATTGAGGTCAGGTGGAATGATAAGTGCACATGTTCCAGTCCTGCTTCAGCCAAGTCCTCAGTGGCCCGATGATGAATGTCTCTTTGAGATTCCATTTTATAATCATCGTTGAGACCATCAACCTGTAAAAATTAAAAACCTTAGAACATGCATGGACACATTCCTAATATTTTTATCTTAATTAGGTAATGTTAAATAAGCAAATAGTTTTTACACCAAAGCTCTTTATAGGATAAATAAGAGTGGACCAATTCATTCTGAAACAAATTCCTGCATGTTTTGAAGCATAATGATATTTTCAAATGTACAAACCAAATAAAGAGTAAACTAAACTTTATTTTAAAGACTTAAAGCTCTTAATTCAATGTTTATTTTATTAATGTGTATATAACAACTAAAACAGAACATTAAATAAGTGAGTCATGGTTAATCAAATATAATTATGTGTCAGATAAGTCAAGTACTCACAAATGCCAATACATATTATGTAAGTGTAATTGAATTTAATTCAATGAAAGGGGCTTACTTTATGTATAAATACTTCAAATTTAATGTTGCTGTTTACTCTGTAAGCTTTAGTAACAGTTAATTGTAACTTATCCAAAGCATCTTGGTAGTCATCCTGAAACATACAGTGCAAGAATTGAATATTTTTATAATATAAAATAATTGTTTATTTTGTCAATCAATAGGACCAACCTGAGCATCAATAACAAAGACCAAGGCACCACATCCTCCGAATATTGTGTCAGAATCAAAAGTTGCATCAAAGAAATCAATTTGGCCTGGGAAGTCCCAGATTTGAAATTGTACAAAACTACTGTTATTAATGTCATCTTTTACAATTTTATTTGTAGACTCCAAAAATAATGTCTCATTTGGTGACATTTTATGAAATACCACTTTCTGTATAGATGACTTTCCAGATCTAAAATTAAAACAACAAAAAAAAATTACTAAGTAACTAATAAGTTCATCCTAATTAGAATAAACCAACAACCAATTCAAATAAGGATCCAATACATGTGTCAAATTTATATTGTAAGACTAGTCGATCAGAGCTTACGCCATTACTTCATTGAGACCTCATAAGTACAAAAGAATACCTTCTCAGTCCCATAAGCAGTATTCTAGGCTTGTGATCTTCCTGTAGTGAAGTATTGTCACCATCTCCGTTTTGCTCAAAAGGCCCATAACTGAAATCCTTGGGGAAGGATCCAACATAACAACTGGGATCGTCTTGATAACTCTGAATCATAAAGATGATAAAAGGCAATTTGTATCGTTGTTATTCTAATAATCAATCGCTAATAATTTGATGTCAACTTACCATTTTAGTATTATTACATACACGGGTATTATATACAAATAATTAAAAATAAATATATTAATAATCTATTTAAATTGCCTAAATTTTTAACATTTTATAAAACACTGCGTATTTCTGATGCACGAAAACATGAATTGCCTGACGATAGCACTCAGACAAAACGACAGAATAACAGACGTCACATTGACAGGCACATGACAGTTTAAAATTATTGACAGCCTTAGATTTTTTTTTTTTTTGGAGTTTATGGCCTGGATACGAGTCCTTTAAGCCAAGACAGCCTTAGAATAGCTTAGAATACGATAGTGATGTGTAGCAATTTTTCGTTGGATTCAGGAGTTGACTTAATGGCTTTTCAGCAGGACGCTTCTCAATGACGATTTATCGTCATAAATCGTCAATACTGAAGCAATAGAAGGAACGGTGTGTTTTTAGTCAGTAAGAATGACACTCTCTTACCTCGCCTTGGGCGAGACAAGTCAAATCACAGGAAGACCTAAGAAAAATGAGATCATTGGTTTTGCCTATATAAAAATGTCAACACCTGAAGTAAAATTCAATTCATAGCAATAATAATACATTATACATAATTTTCACTCATCACTTTCGATATAAAATAAAGTAAACAATTTTACTTGTTTTTCCTGATAAATAAAGAAAAACAGAAAATTGTCATAAGTGAAATAAAACAAATTATTAAATTTTATTTCTTTTATTCTAAAATCTATGAAATATAGTTAAAATAATGAAGGTGCGTCCAGACTATATAACTTAACGTATTATACATTGCTTTGAAGGTGCATTTGCTGTATACCTACCACGGCTACAGTGTGAGATAGTATTCCGTTCATAAATTACAACAGTAAAAATATAAAAGTAAGTAAGTATTTATAAAAACTAATAATATCATCCAGGCCGTTGCCTCTCCGCACCGAATTTAAAACAGTTTTTTTGACAAAGCGCCACATTGCGCGTAATTTGTGAATTTATCTTTTCAAATATTGAACCTATACTGTTCCAAAATTTCTTCATTGTTGTAATCTATAAACACAATACTACCACCCATTAAAATCGTGGCAAATATTTTTATTGCAACATAAACAATATCATGTTTCAGATAGTGTGAACACAGAATGTTATATTTCATTGTTCTTCTAACGTGTACCTACACTACTTTTTTGTGTTGCATTGTGGACGCATTAAGCCCTAAGCCACAATTTAACACGATTGTATGTATTATGTAGTCTATGTGCACCTTTATGATAAGACTAATTGAAGTAACAGTATTCAAATAATATAGCAATCAAGCACATAGGTAAAGTAAAAAAAAAATCTTACTAGTCCCGAGTACTGGCATATCAATCAGTAAAGGCGAGTATTATAGTAAAGATTATTTGCAGGCTTTCTACAATTACAATAGGTAACACCTGATGTTGATCCATTGACTGTTAGTAAAGGGGGTCGCAGAGGTGGGGCTACTGCGGCAGTCAGATTATCTACACTAGCATAAGGCTCTGGTCTCCGTAATCGGCGATCCCGCTCCGCATGATGTCTCTCGTAGCGCTGAGCATAAGCTACACTGCGTTGTAAGCCTGCCAGACTATCTGTACGAGCTGGGAACCGTTCTAAACTGTTGGACACTTCACCCACTTCAGCAGTATCGGTGTCTACAATTTCCTGATGGTCTAATATCATACCAATGTTAAGTTTAAGATTCGTTGAACCATCTCTATAAATAAGATATATAGTAGCTTGGTCGAGCACTTTCAAAGAAAAATGTTCATTTATCTTTAAAGCTTTCATCTTTATTTGAAACGGCTTAAACTTTTGGGAGAGTTTCTTACTTTTCTCTTTGATAAAATTATCAAATTCAATAGCTAACATTTCTTCATTATCCGGTCGAGACCTTGTTTCTGCATTGGACCCAAGCTTTAAGATTTCCGGATCTTTGTGTGCCATTTGAGTATCTATCATGACCTGCTGAAGTACTGGAGGATCATTCAATGTATGCCATTTCCAATGTGAAACAGGACCAATTCCCCGATCTAGCACAACACCTTCTGTTTGATTGTATTTAAGCCTGGAAAGAATAAAACTTTATAACTACCTGATGCTTTAAATAAAGTACAACCTGTTAGCTTGATAATTTCAGGTAGGTAGTTATGTACCGTATCTTGCCCGCATGATCGAAGACTATACCATTACCGAGGTAATCAAAAGTGGCTAGTATCGTAATAGGATGAGTACGACCACGCTCATCGGGTTCCCCGCTACTATAAATAACGAAACGCTGCTGGGCATTTGTCTCTGAAATGGAAGTAAAATATTTATAGGTATTTTGTTGTAAATGTGCTTACTTCACATTTTAAGCACACATAATATATATGTATAATCGCCTCCAGGGAGTAGGTACATAATTCGCTTCTAACCTATAACACGTTATGCAGCCATTCTCGCCAGTTGACCCGTATAGTAGGTACTTACCTATCTACAATTTAGATATTGTATCTTACCTTGCGCATCATAATAATCTAATGCTAATCGTCCATTCCTGTAGTACCAGCGACCACGTCCGTTATCATCAAACTCTGCTAGCCTTTCGCCTGAGTCGTAAGTCATTAACCGCTTATTTTTATTGTGTTCAAACCAATCAAACTCAGGATGTGCTGGGCGCATTCGGTAAACATTCATCTAGGAACAAATCAACTATTTTAACACCATATACCTAAAAATTATGGGCACATTAGGTTTTCTGAACTTACTTTTCGTACAACTTTTTCTGTAGGAAGCATGGTCCAACCCTTATCAATGAAGCTGCGGTCTGATAATGCATACCTTATTATGCCTTTGGTAGCGTCCGCGTCAACCTGAAAATTTCAGATTGTGATTGTTGATTGAATCCTATCAATATTGTTTTACCACGAAAGTTGTTTCCTCGGAAATTCATATCTAAATACGTGCCTACTTAGGTATTTATGTCCCACCATAATAATGTTATCTATACTAATATTATAAAGAGGTATTTGTAAGTTTGTACGTAGGGGGTAATCTTTGGAACCGCTGGTCGGATTTCAAAAATTCTTTCACTGATATATAGCTACAATGTTCCTGAGTGTTATATGCTATAAAACATCACGCTGCGATTAAATGGAGCCGAGCAGCGGATGAAACCGCGCGAGAGTAGCTAGTCATTAATATGATTTTTGGACTGCATCACTGCATTATTTGAGAATTAAGAAGCGCTAGCATATACTGGCCCAAGCGCTGTTTTTGTTTTTGGAGTTGGAGAAATCATTTGTAGCGAGAGAGATTAATTATGGAGGGTGCGTCAGGTTCTTGCTGACTAAAACCCCCCCGTTGCTTCTATACTGCTTCTGACCTAGGACGTAACGCCGGGTTTTTAGGTCAAGTACGATAATGTTGCCGGCAGCCCAGTTGGGTCTCATCTATGGTGGGTTATTAGTTCTTCTCAAGTAGTTATTTGTGATAATGAATCAGTCTCGGTCCAAACAACAAAGTAGGTACCTATAGGGTATATGGTTTATAAGTTAAACCAGAGACTTTTCTTTAGGTTACGCGATCGGTCCGTTAATGACTTTCGACACTCTGATTGGTCTGCTACGAGTTCACCAACAACAATAAATCGGCGACAAGCGTCAAATTTTTGATCGTGTTGCATAAAATAATTCGTATTTTACAAAAGAACAAAAAAGGACCTTATCCACCTAAACCCTGCAAATTAAGGTATCTACACAAACTTTTTTCTATATGTCGGAATACGAGCAGACGGATACTAATGATCTGATGATAAGCAAACAGCTGCGCCGCCCAATGCCACACACGCAACACCAGAGGAGTTACGAGCCTTATGTGGATTGTCAAGAATATGAGCATAGATATGGGAAAGTTTCTATGGATTTTTTAGGGACAATCACACGGGCCCAATTCGTTATTTTACTCCGGTATTTTGTAAGCCGTGTTGTCCCTTCGGTCTGGCCGATCTAATTGTGCAGATGCAAGCTCTCCCACACTTAAAATTGATACGAATAAGTACTACAAATAGCTAGTTAATAGCTTTTTTTGTGAGGGGAAAATCATCAAATGACTTCTCCTGCCCAGGGTCGGGCGGGAGGGAGTGTCAGACTCTTACTGACTAAAAACCCCCCTGTTCCTTCTCCTGCTCTGGGCCGAGGTCGCGGTGCCTCATTGCGCTTACCCCGCAACCCCGGCTGAATAGCTTAAGATAACAATTTTGCCTACATTTCTGTGATAGCAAGTATCCTATGAGTAATTCCAGACAGCCACCTAATTACCTAATTATGATCTATTTATTTATTTATTGGGGGATAATTAACACCTACAGAACAATAAATAAACAAAAGATTAATGTAAAAGTTAGGAACGTTCGTTGCAGCTCATATATTCTTTTTGTCACTAAATGAAAACTAAACTTACGTGAAAGATGACTAACATTCAGACAAATATACCACGCGATACAGAATCAAGTAATTTAAGGAATCAGTAAGTAATAATTAATAGTGAAAATCAAGTAAACTGTCAAACGTCTTGTCGTATTTCGACAATATTCATACGGTACGGTACTTACGGGTTCCGGTTTCTTATTTTTAGACATTGTCAAAAATGCAAAGTTCTCCTTTACTATATTAAAAATGAGTAAATTTTAATTTAAATAATAATAAAATATACGTATACAAATACCCATATAAAAACTTCACCAGATCATCAAAAATAAAAACATTCTATTTACACATCTGTCAGATTTTGAAACAATTTATTAGAATTGAAGATGTGTATTGAAACGGCCTGTATAAAAGAAGGTTCTATTTAGCATTATTTCACGCTATAGATAATCTATACTTAAAATAATATAGAGCTGGAGAGTTTGTTTAAACGCGGTAATCTCCGGAACTACTGGTCACAGAGTACCTATCTACATTATATGTGTATACCTACTGGTTCGATTTGAAGTATTATTTTGTGTTTGTTAGTCCATTTATTTAGGTGAAAGCGCGCGAGAATAGCTAGTATTTTATAAAGCCGAATAGTTTGTTTGAACGCGTTTATAGGTACCCGAAACTAACTACTGGGTAAAACTGAATACAATTTATTTTTGTGTTGGATAGTACATATCGAGGAAGGCTATTCTAGGCCTTATAAAACATTACTACTTTATTACCGTGACATGACGCTTTGACCAATAACAGCCGAGGAGGAGGTAAAACCGCGTGGGAGAAGCTAATTAAATAAAATATGCCATTTAACGTAAAAAAGTTATGACAACTCACACCTAGTGTATTTTATAAAATGATGGAATATTTACATGTCTGACATTTCGAAAAAAGTTTTGAATTTGACTAGTTGGAAACTTACTAACCGATTTAGAATCTTTTTTTGATGATTCTGCTTCTAACTTGTCTTCTGCAGTATCTTTATGAGTTATTGCTTCGATATGTTCAGCTTTAAATCCTGATTGAAAAAGTATCGGAACATTTTTTGGTTCAGTAGGTTTTTCTAAAATTTGTTTATTTTTGTATATTCTTTCGCCAATAATAATATGCTTAGTGCTTCTTTTCAGTTTATTTAAATAGCTTTCAAACTGGATTTCTAATTCAGAATCACAACAAAGTATACATGATCGACAAATTTGGCCAGTTTTTTGATGACGTCTATGTGCCTTCATTAATAGAGGGTCGAAAATCTTAGATAGCCTTTTTTGAATTGTGCCTGGTTTAAGACGGACTGATCTCAAAACGTCAAAGTCCCGTTTTTTTATAGTTTTAGTTATTTTTCGCTTTGCTCTAATTCCAGATGTTTTTGCTCCAGTTCCGAAGATAGCATTAACATCTAATCTTTTCAATCCACGCTCACCATCAGCTCTTCTTGATGCATTTTCTTTTGCTTTTACTTCCTCTAGTTGTTTCTTTCTTGCAGCGTCTCTCTCTTTTACAAGCTGCTCTTGTAGTTTCCTAAATTCAGCAGCGTTCGCTGCGTCAGCTTTCGCTTTCTTTGCTTCTAGTTGTCGCTCATGAGAAATTCTTAAAAGTTCACTCTTTGATAGTTTGTTTTGTGTATCAAGTGATTTTTCAGCCTTAAGTGATTTTTCAGCCTTAAGTGATTTCTGGGAAGCTTCAACATCGCTTAAAGAACCTTTTTTTATTACTTCCAATTTTTTTGACGCTGTCCCCTTTTTTGCTTTCTTTTTAGCAGGCTCTTCCGCTTCTTTTGGATTTTTTTCTTCTGTGGCTGCTATTTTTATGGCTTGAGCCTTAGCTAAACCTTTTTCTTTTTTTAACTCTTGTAATAATTTTAGTCTTTCTTGATCTTGTTTTTGTTCCTTTTCCCTTTTTATTTTTTCGTCACGTTCTTGTTTCTCAGCTTGTTTTCGTGTTAAAGGATCAATGTTTGTCTGTTCTTTGTCAGGCAGACCACTTCGTTTATCTGTTAGTTCTGATTTAGACCTCACGTCTTTTTTAGCAACATCGGCTTCCTCAGTTTTAATTTTTTCATCTAGTTTGGGCTTTGAACTTTTCTTGACTTTCTCGCCTACCTTGTCAGATACAACACCGGCTTCATCAGTTCGTACTTTTTGATCTTGGTTTGATTTTATTTCAGTTTTATCATCATCTGGTCTTGGCTTAGAACCTTTCTTGACTTTCTCGCTTACCTTATCAGATACAACACCGGCTTCCTCAGTTCGTACTTTTTGATCTTGGTTTGATTTTATTTCAGTTTTATCATCATCTGGTCTTGGCTTAGAACCTTTCTTGACTTTCTCGCTTACCTTATCAGATACAACACCGGCTTCCTCAGTTCGCACTTTTTGATCTTGTTTTGATTTTATTTCAGTTTTATCATCATCTGGCCTTGGCTTAGAACTTTTCTTGACTTTCTCGCTTACCTTATCAGATACAACACCGGCTTCCTCAGTTCGCACTTTTTGATCTTGTTTTGATTTTATTTCAGTTTTATCATTATCTGGTTTTGACTTTGAAGTTTTCTTTACTTTCTCGCTTACTTTATCCGATACATCTTTTTCTTCGGGTTTTGACTTACCTTCGGTCTTGGCTTTCTCACGAACTTCTCCAATTGCAAGGTTTTCTTCTGGTTTTGACTTTATATGTTGCTTAGTTTTCTCACTAGGTGTTTCAATTTCATCTTTTTGTCTTGATTTTATTACTTCTTTCTTGTCTCTCTGACTTAGTTTATCAGTTTCATATATTATTTCAGATTTTGATTTAGTATCTTTTTTTATTTTCTCACTTATTTCATCTGACCTAACTTTTGGCTCTGGCTTCGGCTTCATGTCTTGTTTGGCTCTTCCGGGTTGTTCATCAATTCCATAGTTTTCTTCAAGTTCAACTTTTACAAAACTTTTGATATTTTCTAATTCTTCATCTTTATTATCTTTGGTTTTTTTAGTCCCAGATTTTTTACCTGTCTCAATCTCTTCTGAAGCCATGCCTTCTATAGACTTTTTATCTCTCGAGCGACCAAGTTCTCCTTCAGATTTGTGTTTAATTATTTTTTCATCACTACTTACTCTCTGCCGCTGATCTTTTAACACTTTTTGCTTGTCCTCTGTTTTAGCCTGTTTTTTCTTTTCTTCTCGCATACGTTTTTTCGTATCCTCTTTTTCAACTTGAAGACGAATCTTTTCTTGAGTAAGTTTAATTAGGTGTGATGAGTGGGCATCAATAAGTGGTCGTTTTTCTACCTCTGGTATTTTAGGGAAAAAAAAACTAAATTGTGTTTTTGCAACATTTTCTGCACTTATTTTAGGCACAAGAGATTTTTTATGGCCATCTTTATTCTTAAATACTCGATGCCTTGATTTATTCTTATCATGAATCTGTGTTATGTTTTCTTCTGTAAATTTTTGAGTATTTCTTAGATTTTTCTCAAAATCCTGCGCATCCTCCTTTATTTTATGTTGATCGTGCTTTCTCAGCCCATGTATATGTGATCTTTGTAAATCCCTTTGTGAGGATCTTGGTTTTACATCTAATTCAGATTTTCCATAATATTTCGCATCATAATTCATTTCCCATGGTGCGTTCTTCGGAGTTTCATATACTTGAGGCCTTTTCGATGACTGCTCCTTATCGGTTTGGATAATTTGTCTCAAGCTAAGATCATGTCTCTTTTTAATTGCACCTCTGGCATCCATTACAGTATCATCATAGTACTCTGAAGATTTTGGGTCCTTTTCTTCTTTTAACGCACTTTTAATTTGCCCATCGACGCGTAAACATGGTTCTAAAAAAGTCGTATCTGATTGAATGAATGAAGGTGTCGAAACTTGTATTTCTGCTTCTTTTTCATGGCCTTTGCGAACTACAGTGTCTTCGCTTAGTGCTGTAGGTCGATTAAAATTTACAAAATGTCCGAATTTAGGACGTTTTTGTAAATTGATATCTATATTTAATTCTGAATCTGACTTGTGTGTTTGTGAAGTAAACATTTGTTCAACTTCAGGCTCGTGTTTAGGCAAAGACGATTTTTGAGCTAATGGATCGAGGTTTACGTTAGAATATTCACCACTGTCTTTACTTATTATCTTATCACCAGGATCTTTTTCGTTGAATAATGATTGGTCAATTTTTAACGGCTCTTTAAAATAAAAACCCATCCTTGAAAGCCATATCTTAATAAATTGTTTTGTGTCTTCTTTTTGTTGACCCTTAACCGATATAAAAACTTTCACAATCTCTTCGCATGTAGAACATGTTTTTTTACTTTTTTCAACTTTCTTACGACAATGGTCGCATATACCCATTACTTCCTTCCTGTCTATCGATGTCACATTTTGCATAACTTTTTGTAGATGTTGAAAGGCTTTTCTACATCGTGGGCAGGGTATATGTTTGCTTTCTGGAAACAAAAAAATGATAAAATTAAGTCTCTCGATTCACTTGATACTTGATTCTGGGCTAAAAATTGTTATTCTAATTAGAAAAATCCCTTCATCAGGAAAGACGAAGATTTCGATACATTGCACAGCAACATCAGTTAGTCAGTCAGTCCTGCCTGCAAGTAGTGATCAACGTATAATTAATAGTACAGGAGAAAGAAAGTCACACGCAGCAAAAAGGTAACACCTAAAAACTCCTAAAAAAAATTTGCTCGGTCCATGCACCAAAATCTATAGTTACCCATAATATCTACGTAAAATTTGGGGTAATCTACTTAGTTACTTACTACTTACTAGAAAATTGAATTTTTGCACTAAGCTTCCTTGAAAATATTAGGTCCAGGGTGTACACCCAGCCTTCAAGGGGAAAAAAGAGGGGACTAATTTAGTATGCAGCTACCTATATATATTTTAATATTAGAAAATACCAATATTATAAAATAGCATTTACCGAGTTCTGATTTTATATCGGAAGACTTTATTATCACGTCTTTCGTGTTGTGCAAAATAAACACAGCTTGAGGGGCATCTGCTTGTTCAACAGCATTGTCTTTCGTAACCTGTTGGTAAATACCTATTTAAATATGATTTCTAAACATTAAAACAAGTACCTATACGGCAATTAAAATAAAAAAAAAAACTATTTTAGACATTTTAATGGATTTATATTAGTTTACATTACATATACATTTATACAGCTTGGCATTTATTGTTATGCAAACGAATCACAAAGTTTTTTGTCTATCTAATGGGGACAAAAGTTAGCGTAGGTACGATACGTACGAACATAGAAAAACAATCCAGATCTGGCTAATTTCTCTATGGTTACGAATCACATAAAATATGTAATGTAGGTTTTTTTTAAATAAAACATTGCCACCTACGATTTTTCCTGGTGTCTTGGGTGCGTTTACAAACATACAATTAGGTACACATGTCATACTCAAGCCACTTCGAATCGAATCACTGGGAATCAAAGCTTGGACACATCCAGTTGCTCAACCACTGCGCCAACCGTGCAGTCGTAGATAAACAAATTGAAGAATAAACTATAGACATTTTGTAGGATGTCTATAAGCATTATTAATTTATTATGTAAAAGGATAAATAAATACAATGTTTTGTTTTACCTACTCTATTTAATTATTACGAGTAGTACCTACCCCCACCAGAACAAAGAAGACAAAAGTCTATGAAAAATATATCATGAAAAAAAGTTCACGTAGGTACTTACATCTTTTTTGCGCTTGTTGTGATAATAAACTACTAAACCAGCGTCCTTAAGTTCTGCTAGCTTATGAAACACTTGGCATTCGTGATGACACGCACATGATGAACATAAAGGCTGGTCTCTGCAAGTGTTGATTAATTTTTTATATACAATTTATACCGTACAATCATATCATCATCTAAAATAAACTTACGTTTCGGTTAGTCCCATAATTATTAAATATTAATATTAAAATAATAACTTAACTAGGAACATATAATGTAAATAAAAACGATAAATAAAATAAAAGTGACTTCACTTGTCCACTTGACAGAGAATATTTTTTTAACTGATGTACGTAAATAAGGGGTGCTGTCTTTTCCCTATCTTCTACATTTTCAGTCATCTAAAATATGTAACAATAACTTATTATTCGTCAAAAGACTAAAATGATATCGAACGTAATTAAATGGATAAATTAACACAAGATTTGAAAGACCCATACGTCCTGCCACCCTACGTTCAAGTCTAGTTGGTCACTGAATTAAATAGTACCTACCTACCTAGGGTTCGTAGAAAGAAGTTGTAGGATGCACTGACAATGTTTACGTCGGTACTTAAGTTCAATGCCCGTCATTGACGTGTGAAATTCTTTAGAATTCAAAGGAAATACAGGTGTGGAATAAGTATTTCTTTAAATGTGCTTGTCAACGGCAATCCGAGATTGGGTTAAGCTTTTCTCAAACTTTCAGGCTAGTAAGGCAACTAACTCATCAGTCGTCGAGCTCACTTTTCAGCTTCACTATAAACAGAAAACCGGCCAAGAGCGTATTGGGCTACGCTCAATGTAAGGTTCCGAAGCTTCCTTTGGGTAGTTTCCTAGGTCAAAAATAAATTAATTCTACGTTTCAATACAATAAAATATTGCAAAATATACTTTTATTCATCGATCTGTCGATATACTAAGTTTTAGATATTTATGTTTTAGCTAATTATTAAGAAATAAGTACGCTATTTGACGCTATAATAGGTACTATGACGTCATAACTCAGATTTTCATACAAACATAGAAAAGAATCGTTTTTGACGTTTGGTTAAAAAATATTGAATTTGGCTAGTTGAAAAGTAATTGTAAATCTTAAAACCGCAATTCAGCGTAAGTAGCAAATGTACAGGGGAATCTTTTAGGGAATTGGGTTACCTACTTATTAATACAGACTAGACAGGTTGGTAATTTTGGATTCCTTACCGATTTTTTTTTATTTACTAGAAAATACGTTCAGAATAGTGAAATATATAAACAAAGTTAAAAATATGTTACCATATTTTCTCTCACTTCTTTATTTCTTCCCCTTTGGGCATTGTGTAAAACTGGAATACTGTGCATATTTATTACTTTACTTACATTGTGGTTCTTTTATGTTATGTTTCTTTGTTTTATATCATTTCATTTATCGTTTAATTCTGAATGCACAAAATTACACATATTAGATACTACAACCTGGATACTGACAGTCAAAGGTATGAATCAATCAAAATATCAAATAAAACCACAGAGTATACTGTATTAATTTATTCAGTCAAATAAGTTCAAATTAAATTAAATACTTTCAATGAAACAAAAAAAAAACTAATCTTTCTTTTTCTTGAATAAATTGAACAGCTTTTGGGTTAGTGACAAGGATGTTCCTGAGGATTTGAGAACCAACTCTTTTGTGCAGATATTATGTAGAGGACCAAATGCCAATGCTACCACAGTGCAGGCAAGACAGATGACATTATAGGGCATGCTAAAGTCTGGGGTAGGTAGGGAGACCATAGCACCATTTGTTCTGAACACAATTGGATACCCTGAAAGTAAAAAAATCACATCAGTTTTATGTGTATCTAAATATATTTAGTATAGGTATCTTTACTAGCTGGTTAGACCTTCATATCACCTTCAGAGTCAAAGACAATCGAGAACAGTAATAATATGAAAGAACATGCAAATCAAGTTGTCATACTATTGCTATATTTATAAATAAATAGTAATGTAGTAGTAACTAATACACTGTTATACATGTCACTCTGAATGTGCCTTATACATCTTACAAGTCTCAAACAATCAAGAGTACTTGAGACCAAACAAATTCATCAAAAGATCCTAACATGATTTTTTTAGTGTATCTCCAACATAATTAATTACATTATCTACTACTTAAATCTTGACTTTACCATTAAAAAAATGTAATAAATAACTCAAGTATATACTCACATAATTTAGTTGCATTGATGACCGAGTCAAATGTTGTTCCAGTGATTGGCAGACTAGTGTAGTTTCTGGCTGTTGGTAAATTAGCTGAGATCAACGCTGAACCAATATAGAATCCATGATTAGCATCAGGAGGATATTCCTGCCATTTCAAAAAGACAAATTCGAAATCTATTGTAATTGTAGTGGTTGACTTTGGAGGTAATTTAATAAGTAATTCTAGGTGATATGGCTTCTGCCTGCTACGGCCAGGAGAATAATACTGAGACTGGACTAATTTACTTTCAGCTTCACCATTGATTCTTAGAGTGCTTAGTTGTATTGGCAACCACCATGGAGCATTCTCTAACACAACCACATTGATAGGAGCCAGGCAATTATTTGTTATCTCTGTCACAATTCCACCAAACTCTTTACCATAACCTAGGACATAGCGGTTGAAAAACAAAGGAGGATGTATAGAAACAGGTATCTGTGACTTTGTCTTGTGTTTCACCCCAATATTTATCATTTTTCCATCAGGGTGTATCTTGTAGACTGCCAACTTGGTCTCACTTCTACCTCTTTGTGACAAAATAACATCATCAGGTGGTGGAGAAAGAGTAAATGGCTGTGTACCATTAGAAGTTATATCAACATAAATCTTGCTATCTGTAGACAATGGACAAGCTCCAGGCAGACCTTGACCAAATAGTTTTCTAAATGACCAGTCACTACTTTTGATTATATCATAATCATAAACAAGAGCCACTGTCTGCTTAAATTCAAGTTGAGTCTCCAAACATTCACTAGATTTACAGATTTTCCTCACATGTACTCCTATTGAATGATAGTTAGTGTTATGGATCATCCTAGAATTAAGCAGGGCAGAAAAACCACGACTTGATTCACATGGCAACAGTTTCTTCCATGGAGTCAAATTTTCTGTGCATACAATCTCTCTTGGCAAGGATGCATATCTTAATTGAGAAGTAACATTTTGACTAGACTTTACTGCTCCCATGGGCCACAAAGCCATCTGAGGTGTGACTGTGTTAAAACTGTCAATAAAATTAAGTGAAGCGCAAAAGAGCCCTGACAGTGTCGCACTTAATTTTTTCCACTGTGTATCCACATCTATAACATCAGGTGAAAACCAAGCATAAAGTTCCGCTCCAGGCGCAGCATCCAATACTGGATATCCCCATTGATGATGTCTCCATTGTCCTTCAGTTAATGTTAAATGTAATTCCTCGACTTGAAAACGAGAAACAACTTCAGCCAAAGACCGAGGAGCCAAATGGGAATGGACTGAAAAATACACAATGGATTAGATATTACTCACGTAAGTAATACCGACAGATAAAATGTATGTTATCAAGATTTATTTATCCTTACGTGAAGATAGTTCGCTATCCACTAGAGTAACGAATTGAAAATAACTGTATAGATGGGTAGGCGGTAGAGGCTTAAAAAATAATTCCTCCTTAAATTCATCACAACGCACGCATAAACAGCAAGTAAAAAGAATACAGCAACTCAGATATCTACGAAGAAAATCCATTTAGAATTCCTTTCATAAATCTCTGATAGGTTATATTTTGATTATTTACTTGACACTGACATACCTATTGGAGAATAGAGAACTTTTTGTGATGTTGGACTTCATTTCAGTAATGATGAATTTGTAATCAATTAGTTAGATTCAAGAAAAAATGAATTTGAGTAAGGTAGTTCTTACTCAAATTCATTTTAACGGACTATTTATAAACTTATAAAATATCATCACGTAATTATCTTTCTTTTTTTTTTCTTCAGCTCCGTAGTAAAATTACCTATATTCTTCATCGATAATTCGTTTAAATAAACGTAATCACTGCACTGGATCCACGCATAGACAATTTCTAATTTGACGTTTGACGTCTGACATTTTCCATAAGTTTGACGTTAACATGAAATCATTACTTGACAAGAACAAGCCGAACAAGGGGTTGTTTTAAAACTGTTTGCGTGTGCGACAAGTGAAAACAAAGTGAATTGTAATATTTACTATTATTTATAAATATCTTAATAAATTTACAACCGATTGCGATTGTCTCAGAAACGATTAGTATACTTATTTTATAAAAATAAATAAAAAGCAAGTGATATGAGTATGAGTGTAAATAAATAAAGAACGTAATTTAAATTGCCTATAAATAAAGTAGCTAATTTTGTTTATTTAAAAATGGATTCAGAATTCGTGCACATATCTACGAGTCTTCGACTACAGCTGGGTTACGGGATTGGACATGTATTAAATGATGTCTGTGCAAGTTTATGGTTCACTTATTTTCTAGTTTATTTTCATTTAGTGCTTGAGTTTACTGCTTCCCAGTCAGGCACTCTGATGTTAATTGGTCAAGTAATGGATGCTGTATCGACACCTTTTGTTGGCTACCATTCAGACCATACAGATAATCACATGAGTTTAAAATATGGTAGGCGGAAACTGTGGCATTTGTTTGGTAAGTTTTATTTAAGTTAAGTGGCTATAAAGCACTAAAAATATTCCGGCTGTAATTTGAAACCACTAAGAAAATCGTTTTTTTTTTCAGGTACCTTCTGTGTTCTAGCATCATTTCCATTCATATTCTCAGAATGTATTGGTTGTTCATCAACACACAAATGGGCTCAAATGTATTATTACGCTTCATTTATTATTATATTCCAAATCGGATGGGCTGCTGTGCAGATTTCCCATTTAAGTTTAATCCCGGAGTTGTCAGAAGATGACCACACCAGGACACATTTGACTGCAATCAGGTAAACCATAGAAATGCTAATATTTTTTTAAATAAACAAAAAAAAATATTTCAATTTAATGTACACAAAATGTTCCAAATAATACATATGGGTTAATTTAAAATTGATATTAATTTGTTTGAACAGATGTTCCTGGAATCTACTAATCATGTTTTGTTTGTTACAGATATGGTTTCACAGTATTCTCAAATCTATTTGTTTATATCATCACATGGATTATATTACATTTGACTGGGGAATGTGACAGACATGTATGTTTAAATTTTGCATGCAATATATTTAAATTTATAATACTTAATATAAACATATTATAATAAAAAAATATATTATTTTTTGTAGCAAGTGGGACCCACTGACGCTTGGAAGTTTAGGCATATTGTCTACATAGTATTAGGACTAGGAACTTTAGCATCAATTATATTCCACATTTCTGTTACTGAGAAAAACAACTATCTACGTCGTGATCAACTGTTAGAAGGAGAGAGTGGTGCACATTATGATTTTCTACGCAAACCACACATGTATCAGGTAAGAAAACAGATTCAGTATACTTATAATGTATTTAGTTATTGTAATGAATATAACACTAACATATTTGTTTTGTTATCAGCTAATTGGCACACTTACAGTAGATAATAAAGCTAATGATATGTAATGTGTTGTATCTATTAACAATTCATTATTTCTAGGTGGCTGGGGTGTACATGTGCACAAGGTTGGTTGTGAACATATCGCAGGTGCTCATCCCCTTGTACCTCCATCGAACTTTAGGACTAGCAGCACGAGCACTAGCAGTAGTTCCTCTCGCCTTGTACCTCGGCAGTCTGGCAGCTGCTGGAGTCCAGAGGTTGGCACCAAGGTCCTTCACAAGAAAACTTAATTATTTGACCGGTTCCGCATGTGCTATTGCTGGTTTTGTGTGGATTTATCTTGGATCAGATGATGATTATAAAGTGTATTTCATTTATGTGGTTGCCGTGTTAATAGGTTAGTATCCCCAATATCCAATTCCTACTTCCACAGTTTTACTTACAAACAAATGTATTTTACAATGATTCCTACTCTCTTGTGTAACAATGTGTCTTCTCGCATAATATAATATAAATATATATATATAATGTGTCATTCCCATCTGTGACATAATGTTTTAAATAAGTACATGGTTCCTTACCTTGCACTTATTTGTTGTAAATACCTAATCTGTTACAGAACTGTGTAATTATAATAACATTTATTGTTCTAGTATGAGTCACTTAAATTCTGTGAAATATAGGACAGTAAAGAACGATAAAGAAATATTTTTGTGATATATATTATTGCGTCTGTTGTCAGGTTTTGGTGGTGCAGTGATGTTGGTGACAAGTCTAGCTCTGACGGCTGACCTGGTTGGCGCTAGGACGGAAGCTTCTGCCTTTGTTTACGGCCTCATGAGTTTCACTGATAAGCTCGCATGTGGTGTGGCCATTGCCATTATACAAGCCTAGTGAGTTCACTAATGATTCATACCGGCAGCTGCTAGCCCGTTATATTTAATAATTTCATGACATAACATTACAGAGATAATGAGAATTAGAATTTCGAAAAACGGAAAAAAATACTGATGCTCCTTAACCGCAATCGGACCTGCGACCTTGTTCAAATTAGAAAATAGTAGTAGTAGTAGAACGTGTTCTTTTTAATAATAACTCAGGAGTCACCTTATTATATGTATAATCAAAATACGTGGATTGACTCACATACATAGATATCACAGCTTATACATATCTATCTGTCGATACATCTTTGTAAGATAGAGAGCCTGATCATGACTACTAAATGTTGAATTGTAGGGTAATGAGGGTATCAGACATTATTTATTTATTTATTCTCTTATCGTTTATTGACTACGAATGCGATGCAATAGAAACACATCTATAGTTAAATAACCACTAGAAGTGTGACTAGCTTTTGCATTTAACTTTGTTGCATAATAATATAATAAATTAGAAAGGAAAAAAATGTGGAAATACTATGATGATTACTAGGGATGTTGAAGATATATTATGTTACTCTTTTCCTCGAAATCTACTCAATTTGTATGAATATAATTGAGTAAAGAGATAATCTGCAATTATAAACCAAGCTTCATTTTTACCTTGAGAGTACAGTAAAAGCCGTTGTCAGAAGCCAGTTATTAGGACCATGGATATTAATAAAAATCGAGCCTCATTGTGACTTTCGAAGATGTCGAGGATATAATTTCGAAGGCTTGTAGGCAACTCATATTACCTATATTTCAATTTATTTTTCTTTGAATGACTATGCAGTTGTAAGTGCAATTATGATGATAAGTCCCACATATTTTGAAGGCCGTTTTATTTTTCAGTGCCGATGGAGCTGAGCCTGCGTACTATGCGAATGCGCTTGTGTGGGTGTGTGGTATAGCAGCGATTGCAGGACTTATACTAACACTTCTGCTACCTAAATTTCAATCTGATGCCTTACTTATTAGTGGTAAGTTTTATGTACAAATCTACTTAAACAGTATCCTGAGGTTCTTGTATGCCTAAAAATTTCTAGACTCATATTGGCAATACAAGTAGGTATTACCTACATCACTAGGTAGCAATAAGGCAGTTCAGCAATAAATATACGAATTAAATTCCGAAAAATATCTTTCGAAGGGTTGTATAATGTTGCAACAACCATACTCGGAGTCGGAGTAATTTAGTTTATGATTATTATAAGTAGGTACTATGTGATTATTAAAAGTCTGAGTATGGCAGAGTATCCATTATTCTGAAAGTAGGTGTGAGCTAGGTGAAGAGCAGTCAAAATAACTAAAACTGAGTTAATATTTAGGCATTAGAAACCTCACAAATAACTGTAGGTATTTATATTAGTGGACAGTATGGCAAATTGACCGTAATAACAACTTAGTTATAAGTCTACATTACTATTTCAAATCCAATTAGTTGTAATACTATTCTAATATATGATTTGTACTTTTCAGTAGACTCGTCGATAAACAATTCTGACGCAAACAGAGAAGAACAAGAACCTGCGCTCATAGAGAGGATATGAAGAATTATTTAGATACAATTAGACTAATTTATAAATAGAGCATTAATCATGAACATGTCAACAGCTTCATAGTAAAATCTATTTTATTTGTAGAAAGTAGAGAATCATGGAAAGGTAACCAAGTGATTTGGAAATAAAAATTTACAGAAACTTAATTGGCTACCAACCTGACAATATACAAAAAGTGGAACTGTTTGGCTTGTTTAAAAATCTTTACATAAAATACTATCTCTGTACTGATTTAATCTTTATTTTCTTACCTGCATTCCAAATTGCTTGGCTGACTTCATGAACATTATAATTGATTATTGACCGTAACTTCAGATGACAGTTACAAGTTAATTTACTTTTATTTTTTATTGTTTCTTTGATATTAGGTATTGTTACGGGTGTGATATTATATTAGTATTCAATTTTTAAAACCATTTCACAGCACAAGTAACGTGAATGCTTTGTTAAAGAGATCTCAAGTAACTGTTGTGTGTGGGATTAAAAATGTTTAGCTCAAATTAATATTTAAACGACATTCCAGTTACTTAAGTAGGCGCTGTTGTGAGATATAGACATTTTAAATGACCAAGGTTATTAAATGTAAAACTTTAGCTATTAAAAGTTGTTATACTAAAATGTAGGTGCTACAGTGTATGGGTATAAAAAACGTATTTATTCAATAAAACAATTTTATATTTGTCTACTTGTGAATGTTTTCGTAGAATAAGTTTTAATAATTATGACTTATAACATTGACTATTTATTACTCCAAGTACCTAACTTAATAAATTAAATTATTATATTCCTAAATGTCCAAATAATATCAATAGTATTTGCCTTTCATAATATTTAAAAAATAAATTTTAATTTTGCATAATGTTGTAAGGTTTTTATTTAATTTTATAAACTTCGATATTTGTTTGAAAATGTCTTCCACCAATCTTAAACTAATCCTGCAGAAATATAATATATGGATGGAATATCAATATCTAAGTACCTAATTAAAAATCATGGTCTAGTAATTCAAACCGCGCTGTCGTGCGAGTACAAGGTGATTCTTCACTTATAAGAAGCAATAAATAACGATGATACATATTCTCACGTCTAAAATTGCCCGGTAAAACAATATTTGGATACCTACCTATTTAAAAATATGATAGCACGTTTTGTGCGACAACTTGGCAACTGGCTGCCGTGCAACGTATCGCGGGTTCCATTCCCGCACGGAACAATTCTGTGTGATCCACAAATTGTTGTGCCGGTTCTGGGTGTCATGTGTATATTGTGTACGTATGTGAAATTGTATGTTAGTAACCGCAACCACGACAAAGAAGAAAATCAAAAAAGCAAAGTTAAAAAAATTGCTAGAATGATTTGTTAAAATAAATACTTAGGTTTATGGGAGAAAGAACCAGCAAAGCAAAGAATAAGTACGTTAGTGTAATTATGTATAAGTAAGTCTCACGCAACTCATGTTAGGTCTGAATTAATTTCCAGACACTGTTCAAGATGTATCCTCTAATATTGTGTATGTCCGTCGTCGCTCGCCTAACGAAGTATTTGAATATGTTCAGTAACAAATTGCTCTCCCCATGATCAAAGTTATTTTAGTATAAGTACCTGCATCAAAATTATATTTAAAGAATTATCTAAGAATGCTATGGATTAGTCCTTATGCATTGGTCCTACCAATCCGAGGCCGGCAAGGACAACGACCAATTTCATTTTGTCTATGTAGCATACTTACTATTGAACTTGTAAAGGAGTCAAAGGAGGAGACGACCTTGTAAGTACGTAGACTGTAGTTTTTATGTCTGAACTTTACGACATTGCCCTATTATTTATGAAGGACAGAACGACGTGACCTCTCATGTCCTTCACAGTAGGGTAAGGTCGTTATTTTAGTCTCGAATGAATGCGTGCCTATTACTATTATTTTATAATCAATGATATTTCGCTCAGCTTCGCTAGTCGAACGGACACAGGCTCGACTGCCAATTTTCTTAAGGTATGTCGGGCATTTTCGGGGGATTTCCAATCAAGACAGTTAAACATAGGCATGGGCAATGTAGTAACCTTGGTGCCTTTTTAACTTTAGTAAGTACCTAGCACCTATTAGGATATTCCTACCCTTACCGTTTGTTCGGCAAATAAGTAGGTATTGTTTACCAAATAAATACGTCGAACTGTGATTCAATACTTCGACAGGGCTCGAGTTGGATAAATAAAGGAAAATTGAATTAGTGCCAAGGTAACCCGATATCAACGAAGGACGAGGGGGTGAAAGTAGGTACCTAATTAAATTTTTTTCTGATTTCCGATAAGTGAATATCATAAACTTCTTTTTTGGGTAAAATATGTTGCATTCTTATCAGGATTGTTTTACTTTAGCACAAATAGCCAACGTTAAATCAAATAAGGACTTATTATAACAATTTAATTTCAAGTTGTTGTAAATGAACAGAACTTTCCTTTTTCTATGATGAGAATAAAACTTATGCGCGAAGGTGATACAAGATCTTAAAGTACCTAGTTGCTGCTTAACAAGTCAATGACAAGCCTTGAAGTTTATGTTCAGCGACGCGAGACGCTGCGCAAACATGAATACCTACAAGCTACTAAATGAGTCGCTAGCTAGCTAGCGACTCATTTGAAGGTGATCTCTTGAAAAATGTCTAGAATTTTTAAATATCTTGTTTGTAAACTAAGTTCAGTTATTTAAATCTGTTACATATAAATTGATATTAAAAATAAAAAAATATGGTGGTTTTACATCTTGCAAATTCATGGTATTTTCCTGAGGTTCCTATATTCTAAACCTTACAATGAATGATTTTGATGACTATTTTATCTCCTGCTGGATTCAATTTGTTAACGAGTTATTCAACTATAAGGATGAATCAATGAAAAAAGTTAAATTTTTTGACAAATTTATTAAGACATCTATTTCAAAATAAATACTTTATAGTATCACAAAAGCTTGCATTGCACCTTTTTGTATCAAACATGAGAATATTAAGCTTCAGTATAAAAGCACGGCTCACTATGGCTGCAGCTTGCATATTGCTGTAGTGTTTCTCCAATCTACAGAGTGGCACTTAGTCAGAAGCAGCCAGGGCAATCACCGTAAAACGTACTTCATTAGGATCACGAGCCATAAAGGCCTTGCAAATCTTGGCAGAATCTTCTAGTAGAGAATCGGGAGTAGTGGGTCCATGATTAATTGGAAAAGCTTTACGTCCATCCAATTCATACAAAAAGCCATCCTTGTGTACAAAAGTAATAAAGTGGTGATTCACTGGGTCTTCAGCACTGGGTGTGTTAGTTTGGCCTTCTTGAGCCAATTCCTTATGGGCTTGAATAATACCATCAGACTTTTCTAATAATTTTCCTCTAGCAGGAGCATCCATATCTTTGGCTTCATCTAAGAATTTCTTCATGTGGCCATCAGCCAGCTCTATTTTGTCAGTATTATTAGCAACACTATGCACAAGAGCAACAGTGCCACATGCATTACTTATGAATTGTTTCATGTAGAAAATGTTATTAGAAACTTCTTGACCTTTGGATAAAATATCGCTTTCTTCTTTTTGTTTATGTTCTTCATAAGCATCAGTTATAGGAAAGAGAAGCATAACCGATAACACAGGGCGAGGAACCCAGGATAACATCTCTGGCTCAAGCCCCATAACGTCGACAATACTCCATTGACTAGGAACTCCTAATTTTTGAAGAAACTTATTCATTACGTCAGGGTTTGATTCTAATGGAATTAAAGTTTCAGTCGCCATTGCGATTCTTTCTGAAAATAATAATGAAGAGAGGTTACCGGTGTTTCAAGGGTAATAATAACCGGTGGATGATTTGTGAATTTTATAAAATTAATCAATAGTACTTACCAGTTGCAGGTCCTCACAGTAAAGATATAATAAAATACGGCAGACAGAGTCTAGAGCACTTTTAGCACTGTGTACTATATTCGTTCGACAAAATTCAAATTGTGATGAGTAAACCTCGATCAATACCTACAAATTGTGATTAACAACATAGAGATATCAAACAGATAATCGACTAATTGTTTATTCCAGTCTAGAGGGCTTTCTAGCTCCTTTCTCTCTAGTTTTCTAGTTTCTAGATCCTTTTATGTTTAGCAAAAATAGGAACCATAATTTATGAATTTTTCGTATCTATCCATCTGTATTTCACGGCCATTTTCACAGATACGAGTCAGAGAGTTATTTTACCCGAAACCAAGAGAACTAAGTCGACTAAGTTAATGGATTATGTGCACTCCATTGCGATTATTACACAAATTCACAAAAATGTAAAAGACGCAATAAATTAAGAAGTTCCTATTTAGTTATGGGTGGAGAATAAATACTTCAATATTTTAAAATAAAAGGTAATTATCCATTATTTTGAAAAAAAAACGGAACTCGCATTTACTTGAAAACTTTTTACCATAAGTTTACTTCCTACTTGTAATCGCAATAGATAGCTCACTATCCTGTCCCATCGAATATTTTATACCTATCTAGATAACCTTGAGAAAAGTGGGTGGTGTAGAATTACTAGCAGTTTAATATCCAGGCCATAAACTCCAAAAAAAGCAGTTAATGAATAGTCGAATCAATTCGACTAACCAATTGAATGTTTTACTAACTTTGACAGGAGTTCTTTGACAAGACAATTTTTACAACTCTAATAAAAAAGTGAAACTTCACAAACTTCTCTTTGGTTTGGTGGATTCAGTTGGTCTAGGCAAGATTCAACGAAATAAATAATGTTATGTATAATAGTTTATTGAATTGAAATGTGTTATAAAGTAAAATTATAAAATGTGTTCGTAAATTTTATGAATAAATATAAAAGTTATATACTCTTCAGTCACTAATCATCGAAATGGCAGTTTGTGGGCTAAGGACGTTATTGTTGATCGTGTGTATTTTGGAATTGGTATGTTTTTGTTTCAAACACTTACAGTTTGAACTTGCATAGAATCTGAACTTGCATGGTTTTCAGTGTTTGATAGTGTCCTATTATGTATTCCTATGATAGAACACTTTATTTGTATATGTTAAAAAAATGTAGAACTAGTCAGTCTAGGGATTGATGACCTCCAGTAGGTACCTCATAGTTTGCAGATTCTAATGACCTAAGCATTATTATGAATCACATTCCTAGAGAATGAGTCGGATTGGTATCTTAGTTGCTATTGTTATTATTGTTACAGATCATCACAGTACAGCGACAAGTTTTTGATTTCCTGGGTTATATGTGGCTGCCTATTATAGCAAACTTCACAAATATTTTGTTGATTATATTTGGATCATTTGGAGCTGTCCAGTATATAACAAAGTACCTATTTGCAGTAAGTGAACAATGAATGTGCTAGTAATATGTGATGCTATAGTGACCTACTTTAATTTGCTTTCACCATGTGTATCAACAATTTGTTACATAAGTACTTCTATTGAGTTTTAAGTATTAGGTAGTTTTATTTATTGATTTTTAAATTTTTTATATTGAAAATACACTTTGATCTTGTCCATGATAAAGTTTATTCATGATTATTAACTTTCATTACAAGAAAACATTAAGTCACCCTTATACAATGACTAAAAAACCTTTTTAATTTGCTGGATTTTTCACTAGCCTATTAGCAGTAGATAGATGACCTATTAACGTTCATAAAGTTTGTTTTGAATTGAGTTTGCTATTTGGTTTACATGCAATACACAGAGAACATTGTAAATTTTTTACAGTATGCCATCTGGAGCTTTATGTGGCTGGTGTGGAATATATTCCTAATTTGTTATTATCTTAATCTGGGCACTTTGAACAGGGTATGTACCTAGTATATGTCAGATAGTAAATCATTATTATCTTAGTCGCTATGTGCTTTTTCTAAAGAAATTTTTTTTATATTCAAAGGTAAACTAAATAAAAATTATCATTTTCCTTACCTATGTCTGGAATACTGGAATTAGTTTTCAAAATAAATAGATTATTCCATCTATCTATTTCCTATGTAATTAATATGAGATGTGATGTTTGTATTTTCAGGACAGTGGTTTACTATCACTGGGTACAGGCAGTGTAAGTTGGTGGGAAAGCAATGGTTGGGGTTGTCAACCAGTATGGGATGAGGTAGATGGACCTGGCACATGGAGGCCCACACGAGTGGAGGGCTGCTTCATGCAGTGGGATCATGTGGAACTAGGACAGTCAGCTGTTGCTGCTACTTTAGCAGCCACAGCATTGCCCTTAGCTGTTGTCTTGGCCTTTAGATCATTTAAGAAGCAAAAACCAGCAGCAGGTAAATTATAATATCAATTTATTCTAATATGGAATCTGTAATAATGATAAATAAGGCCCCTTAGTTAATGATGATCACAATTCCGTTGCAGATAAAGGCACAATATCACGTCGTCCAGTGTACACAATAGAATTGAGCCCAACTGAAACAAATATCAGTGAAACTTCAATGAAACCAATGACTCCGAGACGCGTCAAGCGTCGATCGGGTTCCCGCGGAAACAACTCCTCAGTTCGCAGATCACGTCGATCATATAGAAATGCTGGGTATTTATCATCGAATGCATCATTACCTCGTGATTCGAGAGCGTCCCGGCCCACTTCCGCGCACTCCTCATATTCTAACTTTCACGCAGCTCGCCCTGTTTCATATCACGCTCCAGAAAGAGAAAACTTTCCTTGTGTGGATGATGCCTATAATGATCCACCGCCTCCGGTCGAATCTGTTCCTATAGTAACTAATAATAGATATAACACTATTGGACGTAGCAGTATGAAGTCTGGTTACGATGTCGTTGGCCCATACAATGAGCCAAACCCACAAAGGAAATACGAACCTAACATTCCATCTTACGATAATATTGAACGAAATTACGAAACCGCTCCGACTTACGACAACAGAGCGGACAATGTAACGCCTTGCGAGTCTCCATCGTATGTATATGGTGGAGCGTATGGCGATGGCGCCTGGCAGACGCCACCACCTCCGGCGCCGCCCTACAGTGCCCGGGCCACACCACAGGCGCCTGGCCCGCCCGCGTACCAGGCGGCTAATGATCACTATAATATGAATGTAGGACCATAATATCATAAAATGCTCGCAGAGTATTTAAGTGCCTTAAAGCGGTGATGTTATTTACTAGTTGAAATAGACACGTGTGGCCTATTTACACTCTTTCTGGAAATAACATTTAAATTTAATAATATTAATGTATGTGATGTTGATTTTCCAGACGTAAAATGGAGCTGGACCTTAAATATTATTACTAAGTTCTGATTTATTTTTAAGAATATCGAAAGTAATTGCCATCTTGTGGTGTGTTTATGAATGTATGAAATGTATGTAATGAAACCTGAATGTGATTTTATACGAATTAATCTAGTTTTGAAGTTGTTTCGAAATGATTTAAATTGGGTTTTAGGCGAGTATATTTTAAGTCATTGTTATTTTTTATCGAGATGTTAGCTTTAATGACACTGTTAGTGTTAAGTTTCTGCCAGAAATAGGGTAGTCATATAGTTACAATAATACCATAAGAATATTGTCGTGAGAATTCTGAAAAGGGGTTTTTGTCTAGCTCAGTGACATTATGCCTACACAAGTGTAAAGGTTTTTGCTCAGTGACGTACTTATTTAATACTGTAAAGTGCACAAGAAATATTTGTGTTTCTTTCATAGATATTTAAGTCTCTCTAACATTCCAGTGGCAAGCATTCCTGACGAGTGTCATAGCATGGCTCTCAATAGGGAAATAGTTAAAATCTCGTCCAACAATAGCTTATAGGAAAGTAATTGGAATTTATGTATTAGATATCCGTCCAGTTTAGTGTAAACAAGAATCTCATGATTATATGAGTATTATTTGAAGATCGAATTTGTGTAGACTTAATCATATTTGATGCAACTAAGGACCAATCTTGTACCTAGCAATTAATTAGATTACAACGAGCTTTATTAGGTTAAGCCAATAAGTTATAGGGTTATATTTGAACCAGATGGTCTGGTAATTTTTTTATACCAAATATACACCTACAAAGGAAGTATTGAATTTTATTATTATATTTACCTTTTAACTATTTGGATAGTGGGTAAAAAAATAAAAGATATTTTATATCGAGCATTGGAATTTTATTCTTAACATTAGTCTTAACAGAGAAAATATATAAGATCGCAAAAATATATCACAAGGTACAGTAGTAAATACTGGTTCACATAATTTTAATCAAGTAATGTTTTAATTACGTTTATATAGTAAATAGTGTTAAGTTGCCGACTATGTACAAAAAAGTATAAAGATGAAACATTACTTGATTATTATTACGTTGACTAAATGTATGGGTAATGCATGTCAGCGGTATTTGATCAAATACAATCATTTATAAAAATCAACCAATGATTTCCGATTCATTATTAATTAGCAAGATGCGCGTCGCGGCGATGTCGCGCAGTCGATTTATACAGATTTCTTTTAAAAGACTGGGGTCTCAGAGTTTATAATTAAAACTAAAAACAATAGGCGAGACAAACTTCGCCTTAAATGCGACGCTAACGTATTTATTTAAATTGACTAGTTAGTTTGTTTACTTTGCAAGTATAGTCTCGTACAGCTTGCACATTGTTACATAGTGAAGTTATCGGCGCCGCTATTGTTTGAGTCTTGTATATTATTGATATGGGTATGTAAAGGTTTGTACTGCAGTACGTGGTGCTAGATAGGCGGTAAGGAGCGTCGCTCGGCCGGCGTGAGATCAGGATGCCATACGTCTACGATGAGAACCAAACGGGTACCCGTGCCATTGTGCCACACCTCGTGCTCGAAGCTATCATCAAACATGAACGTCTTTCCGACTTTCCACTGTCTGTGAACAATTAAAATAAATATTTTTAACAAATTAAAATGGTTTAACATAAAAGTGAACCTAATGGAAATAATTTACCTAGTTTCTTGATCCACTCTAATGTAAGTATCTTTGGTATTACTGAGACCTAAGTGCATTCTTAACCGGCAGTTAGTAGGACCGACGTGAGGCCGCACGTGGGTGCCCGCCTCCATAGCACTAAACTTGATCTGCCCACGGCGACAGCCCGACGCAGCAACTTCTGAGCGTACGATCGAACACGTGACTGGCGCTCGTTTACATCTGTTGGGAATTTCTTGCCCTCTAACAAACAAGTCTAATTGCGACCATTCGCCTCGTTCTTTTAGACCCTCCTTTTCTTTTTCATACAAAGCTTTAGCTGCTTCTCCTTCCTTTAAAATTTCTTTCCATGATTTTTCGAGAGCGCGCGCCAGTTTTGTGTAAGGAGTCTGCTCTATATTCCACCACGGGCGACTTTTTAGACGATTAACATTATAGAGTGAACGTTGTGAGGGGGACAAAAAGTGGCCCATAGCAGCCCCCCGCTTATGAACTTCATGGGCTTCTGCATACCGGCCCAACAAGAGAAGCGAATCTCCAAGATGGTAGTAGAATCGAGATTCGGTTGCGGGCCCTGTGTCATTCTGTAAAGCTTTTTGAAAGGCATCAACAGCCTCTTCTAGGCGATTATGTTGAGTTTTCAAGACGAAGCCGTAATGAGCTAAGGCTACTCGATCATCGGGCCACTTCTTGAGAGTGTCCTTTATAACTTGTTCCGCAAGGTCAGCCCTGGAAAGATAAAATGTTTTTATAAGTTTCATTTCTCATTATATGTATTGAGATTTAGGTTCATATTTAAAGGAATATTGCTCTAAAATTATCAAATTACCTGTTAGCCATGAGAAAGGATATTGTTAAGTTGTTATAATAACCAGGAACATCAGGAAACCGGCGTATAAGTAGCCTGTACACAGGTTCAGCGCTCAGATAATTGCCTGCAGATATAGGGTACACATTGAATTTTATTAGTTTAAAATCCTTAGTTAATAAATCATGGAAACGTTCGTTACAAATATAATTGATCGTACCTCTGAATCGGATTCTGTCAAGTGTTCGATGAGCTACCTCAAGTAGCTTGAGGTCGGTGAGGCGTTCGTTCATCTTGAGCAGGTCGAGGTAGGCGGTAATGGCTCGCGTGAGCAGTCGGTTGTCGCGGCGCGCCTCCGCCTCGGCGTCGACAGCCCGCGCTAGCAGCCAGCGCGCACGCGCACTGCTGGCCAGCTGCGCCGCGCCCGCGCGCTTGCTTGCCGCGCTCCAATCGCCCTCGTACGTTAGTACACAATACTCTCACACACACTCTCCACACACAACACTCGCACTTTCCGTGTCACAATAAAGTGGAAGGCATCGACAAATATTTTACAAATTTAAACAGACTTGCTTTCCTCTTCGTATTTGCAACAAGGATAGACGAGAAACAGGTCCTACTCTAGGGGGAGACGAAGTCGTCGAGGGAAGCCGGGGGCGGCCCACGCGAGGTGCGGGCGTGAGACGCAGCCCGACATATCCTTCGACGAGTCGATAGGAAAATGGCACAACGAGCAAAGTATGACAGATGCGAATATTGGATGCAAAAAAAATAAAATAAATAAGTTAGTCGAGCCACTCCTGGAATTTCATTAAGAATTTTTAATGAGAACTTATAAACTTTGCAATGTTTCAATTTGAGTAAAGTGCTGTTGGTGTATTCGATATTATGTATGGTGTTATGTAAAGCTAGGAAGCGAAAAGCTAACAGGAAGTTCAAACATATTTTCGTTCGTACATATTTGTTATTAATAAAAAGAAAACACTTCATGCAATATCATATTCACAAATATTATTATATAAAATCACTCGAAATAGTATGAGAATACACCAACAACTTTTGGGGACAGCATTTTTATTTAAATTTTTAGATCAGACAAAGAACATTATAATTGCAGTATTAAAAGACTATTTGAAGTACACCTTTTTATGTTTATCGGAATCGGACTATTTGATTAATAGAATTGATTTCTAATTGCACTCACCTGGCGCAACTCTTCTTCAGCTTGGTCGAGCTGCTGGCGCCAGTACTGGTCGCTTGGCTCTCCTGGCCAGTCATCTTCTATACTGTTCCCACCATCCTCTGTGAATGGAAATATTATTTACCAATCTGCGAAATACTACAATTGTCTTTGGAATCAGCAAAAATTCAAGGTACTTCATTTTTTCTTCTGAATGTCTTGGAGATTTAAAAATCAGAAAATCACATTGGGGCAGAAAGTGTATAACGTAGTCATTAAAATAAATAAAGAAAACATGTATGGCTAATTAAAGGGGTAACTTAATGTGAACAGTTCAATCCACTCACGTTATTATTAGTCATGCCAGGGAGTGTTAATTGGTTAGAATGATGAAGCCAACAGCGAGTCTACACGAGCAAGCGGTCACACGCAGACAGTCGTTTTTACTGTGTTTTTGTCCGGGCCGTTCCGGTTCGGGCAGTCGTCCATATTTAGCTTCGAGCCGGCTGAGAAGTTCTGCATCATCCACGTCTGATATCTCTTCCTCTTCATCTTCTTCCTCCAATTCCTCCTCAAGTTGTTCCTCATCTATTATTTCTACGTCATCAGGTACTTCTTCATCCGCCTCTGGCTCTGGTTCCTTCCAAGGTGTAGGTACAGTTTGTTTTGGAGGTTCTGTTGCTACAGATTTTACATTCTTCTGTTCTACTTCTTTCTCTTCTTCCTCCTCCTCTTCAATTTCTTCGTCGCTGTACAATTCCTTGTCCTTCGTTGATTCTTTCTCAACTTCCGCCTGCAGGTAATTTTCTTAGTATAAAGTATGTGTGTAAACTAAATATCAGTCACAAAATGGTAGTCCTTACCTTAGTATCTTCAACTTCATCTTCATTTTCTTCTTCTTCCTCTACCTCTTCCTCTTCGCTTTCTTGTTTGGGAGGAGCTTTAAGAACAGTGGAAACTTTTTCGATAATTTTTTCAACCGGAACTTCAATTTCTTCGACAACTTCACTAGGCACAGCTGAAGGACGTAAAATATTTAGTTAAGAAAAGGTAAGTGGAATAATAGTGTCATTTAAGTCTTTGGTTTTCCTACCAGCTGCGGCTGCTTCTTCAGCAATCAGTGTCATTCGTCGGTCTATAACTGGTGTTTCCTCCCTACTACCGTGCTCGTCACTTGCTGGTGTATCATCTGTTATGAAAATAACATTTCACTATCTATATCATCTCGCAACTGTAAAAAGGACTGAGTAGCTCCATCGAATAAAAAACTAGTAAAGGAATCATGCAAAGTTTTTATCATCCAAGAGTATTTCTTGGTTTAAGATGTATTAGGTATAAAGTTTTCGTCTCAAATTACTGGTAATTCGAAACACTTGACAAATATAACCATAGGTGAACATTACTGGAGTAGTGCCAAGTAATAACGATCGGGTTTAATAGACTAACTAATAGATGTCCTAATTCTTTTAATAGTTACTAACCAGGAAGAGCTCATTCATATTGGAAAAAAGTTCTTTTTTTTTTTAAATCAAGATTAATATTTTTTTTCGGTCAATTATTTAGTTATAAGTATAAGTCCTATAAGGTCAGGTATAAGTTATTTGAGTTGTAAGAGTCATTAAGATAGTATAGCATAGTAATGTACGCACCGCGCGGGGCAGTGGCGCGGCGCACGACCGCGTGAGTAGCAACGAGCAGCGCGCCACCCACCGCCAGCTTCAGCCACACTGCAACACACGCGTACTCGCGTTACCCCACAGCCACGAGCACTGTCCACAAACACGCGTGCTGTCCCTACTACCTTTTTAGAAGGGTCTCTACAAACTGACCACTCGTTACCACCCGTATTATACACAAAATGAATAACCGATCTAATCAATCTCTGAGAACATTTACTTCCATAAAATGTCTGTCAAAAATTTCGATCGATCCAGAGATTGTAAGTTCAGTTATTAACCTTTTGACCCCTATGGTTAGTTATAGTTGATCAACTCGACATTGGCGAAATAGCCTATTTTTCGTTTGCTGTCTATAGCCGATTTGGCGGGCAAAAGGTTAATAGCCACCATTTCTTGTTCTCCTGGCTAAAGTGACCAAAGAGGACTAATCAGCAAAGTATTTTGCGGCGATGGCGGTTGCGAATGGTCTTTTAAAAATTTTTCACCAACGTCGAAGTGGAAGATGTGACAGCTTCGTGTGTTTGAACATGGGAGATATGCGGATGTACTGGAGTAAACTCCAATATTTTTTATAACTGTTTGATATATTAGAGATGGGATGTAGGGATGTGATGATAGGATGAACAGCATTTGTCATTTAGCCACTAATAGTAAATTAGCAGCCAGCTAAAAAGGAGCCTTATAGCCCCGGAAAATAAATTGTTTTGCAGTATCGGATTTTGGAATTCATGACGAGTGTATTATATAACTGTTGCGTTGAATGTCATGAAAATAGAGACAAATCACGAAAGGAAGTCAAAGTAAATATAATATCAATTCGATGGTAATTACAAATAATGAAAATGGGTACAATGTATTGTGTTTTTGTGTAAAAACAAGGCGTTATTAATGGAAACAAATGTGACGAATTTGATCAAACGTGTCAAAAAAATTGTCGTTGTAATTTTAACGCACAATAATCGAGAATAAGGACAAAATTTTGAAAAGTTACTATTGGTTTCACTTGTTTAAAATAAAGAAATATTTGATACATTAAAAGCAATTATACAACACAAAACACTACAAACCGAAGATAACACAATAAACAGTGTTGTGTTTTAAGCCCGTTTACGTATGAATAAGAAAAATAAATGAAATCTTAAACTTAGCACAATTAAAGCAAAATGGGTTGAAATAAAAGAAACTAATTTTAACGAAACATTTATTTTTACAGAGTTTATGTTATGGAATAAGATTCTTTCCCATATTAGGGAGTTAGAACGAATGTTATTTTTTTTTAATCAATTTAACCCAAAACCCGTGGTGTTAATGGTATTGAAAGTCGAATATAAAAGGAGGATTAATTTGTTAGTTTGTTTAAAACTGGCCAGTTTTTGTAGCAATTGAAAGCCATTATGAAAAGCAAATGGTTAAACAATAAGCATGCATGGTATAGATAGTGTAACAACTTACTGTGGGAAGCTTGTTCCTGCTCCTTCCTCAATTCTTCTTGTTGTTTCTCGTATTCTTCTTCTTCGGCGAGCGTGTCTACCGGCTTTGCAGTCGATGTTTCTTCTTCAACCTGAATTACAGGACACCCATTACATCACCTTTAACTGTTGTGTATTCTGATAATGTTGAATTGGTTGGATACTTCTATTTCGATACTCTTAGATATTTTTAACACACATTTTTTTTTGTAACAGCACAATACATAAGATTGACTAATATAATAAAAAGCTACATAACTAGAATGTAAGACTATCAACATACTGTTAAAATTACCTCAACTAAAGGTTTTCCTTTAGGTGCCACAATATGTTCTACGACAGGCAGTTCCTCCTCAATGTCCGCTGGTTCCAAAAACTCCTCGTCTTCAGCCACATCATCATCATTACCATCAGCATCTGCTCCTCCATCATCTTCGGAAGCTACTTCTTTAGAAGGTTCTGTGAACAAATAGAATTTTCGTATTTTATTACGTACAAATGCAAATAAATGATCGTCAGTTGACATTAGTGTCAGTGAATAGAGAAAACAATCCCAATTATTGATGGTCTTGGATATTTTTTCATATATTATAATACACTTGTTCAGCTACTATTACCGTGTTAGCCTGTTGCAATTTTTTTAACTAAATTGACTTTATGTTCCGTTCTTGCACTAGAAACCACTTGCATAACGAAGTACAATATGTTAATCAAGTGTAGAAAGTATATTTTAGAAATTTTTAGCTACGAAAACAAATAATAGAGTCGAATTTAGCTTGCCTTCATCATCATTATCGTCGTCTTCAGCTTCAGCTGCAGGCGATTCTTCAGACAAAGCATCTTCATCAGAAACTTCTTGCTCTAACCTCTCTACTTCCACTCCTAAATCTTCTTCTTCTTCCTCGTGTTCGTCGTCATCCTGCAATATTATTTACGTTGTAAACTTTTCTAGTATATATTTAAAGTTCGTTTTTATCTACCCACATAATAAAATACAATTGTAAGTCTACACATCAAAGTACTACATTAGAAATGTAGACAAAAGCATTAAAATTCGTAAATCTGATATCCAAGTTTTTTTTTGCTACAGTAATGCAAATGCAACTTCCCAATGCATCAAATTCTTCTGGGTGAAAAACAGTATTCAGTGATCATAGTATGAGAACTCCATAAGTGCATTGCCAAGAAATTTCATTCATTCGAAAGCTTTCGAAGATTCACAACAACAAACGATTAAGTATAAATCTCACAGTTTCGCACATAAACAATGTTAAAAGTCATAAGGCGTAAATTCGTCTTACAAAAGTTACACAAACTCATTGTTATTTTGTTATAATAAACTAATAAAAGACATTACGAAAATGCACAATATCATTGGCTTTGCGTAAAATTTTGAAAAAGAAGCTTTATTATTAAATTGTTAGTGCCAATCAAATCAAAAATTGTTTTATTGTTGTCAAGCATCACACTGTGCACCTCATTTTCATTTGATTCTTTGTCATCTTGTTCAATGTCTTCTTCATCATCTGCATCATTGTTCTCTAAGCTATCATTTACTTCATCATTCTGATCATTATCATCATCATCGTCTTCTGCTGTTTCGTTTTCATCTACTTTTTGTAGGTCGTCATTATCGTCTCTTTCATCTTCAACACTCTCTTCATATTGTCCTTTAACATTATCTTCATCCTGTTAAAAGTATTAAATACAACAAGTTTCATTTCAAACCATTACAATAATGCAAGTTCATACTGATTCAAAATCAAAGTCACACCTCATTTGATTTATTTAAATCCTGTTCTGCACTGTCTTCGTCTTGTCGATCATCATCATCGTCATGAGCGGGATGGTCATCACCATCGTTTTCTTCATCATCGTCATCATCAGCATAACGATCATCATCTTCATCACTTTCTGCAGCTTTTTGAACATCGTCGTCATCTTCATGTGCGTCATCATCGTCGTCATCATTTTGGCCTTCATCTTCATCATTATCGTGACCCTCATCTTCATTATCGTCATCATGACCTTCATCCTCATCGTCATCATCATGACCCTCGTCAACTTCGTCATCACCATCATGATCTTCATCATCGTCGGTATCATCATGACCCTCGTATTCTTCATCATCGTCATCGTGACCTTCATCTTCATCATCATGATCTATTTCTTGACTGTGATCATCATGATCTTCATCATCATCATCATCCTAGGTCACAAGCTTAAGGTAAAAAGTAGTAAAACTAAAACACTGCTAAGTGAGGAATCAATAAGTACTTACAAATCTCTTGTTGCAATCACTACAAAAAATGTACTGATTGAACAACAATTATGTCTACATATTTGAGAAAATAAATAAAGTATATATTTTACTATAGCTTAATTGAGTCTAAGCCTTATTCTTTGTTTGTTAAACTTACATGGTGTTTCAGTTCCAAGGTATGTTCATCATGGTGGTCATCATCAGGTGCATCTTCTAGCCAACCTTCTAAAACTCCTGAATAGCGAGACTCCACTGAATTTGCTTCTACTGTGAAATAAGGTTAAGCTACATACATATTCTTACAGTGAAGGAAACATTGTGATGAAACCTGAACTTCAAATTTCTATTTGTATGTTTGAAATTGCTAATCCACCTTGAGCAAGTCTAGTAATTAATGCTTAAACCTTTTTCATGTGAAAAAAGGCCTTTGTTGTGTGATGTGATTTTCTTATATGTACCAAAATGGTTTTGTGTACCTGGTATATAAGAGTCAAAATTTAAATAGTAAGGAAATTTGAGAAAAATAATTATTTGTCTTATTGATAAAAACTATTATTACATGAATTTGATCAACCTAACAATGAATAGTAGCAGTAATTCATTGAATGAAAAAATAAATGGTATGATAAATGAAATATGCGACGGCGTACTAACATTCCGAAAGACCTCTGTTCTCCAGTATGATCAATCCAATTAGAGTTACAAGTACAGCAAGCAATGAAAAGAATATGATCTTGGCACACCAGTGTCCTCCAGTGCCATGGTCATTAGGAGAATGCATAAACACGTCGCCTTCACCAAGCGCTGCAGCCGTGCCACGAGGGCCTTCATCTACGCTTAATTCATCTGAAACGCAAAATAAAAGCCATTTGAATATCATTAGTATGCACATCACATATTAACGCTATACGGCCAGTTTTTTACCTTTCTTCCTCTTTTTATCCTTACGTTTCCTTGGCTGCACGTCCCCTGACATGGCTCACAAAGACTGGCGCTCTCGGGGCGACAGAGATCCACTTTATTGTTTCATAACCCTGAGTAAACAATGAACATACAATGAACTTGCATATAAATGTCACGAGTACTGCAATTATCCAAATGCGCAATTTTCATGAATAAAGAAATGTTTGGCGCAGGTTATAATTTTAAAATAACCTACGTACAGGAGTATGTACCTCCGCAGCTTTCTTCAATTTATTTTAGAATTTAACCTAAAAATAACCGGCAAAGACAGCTGAGGAGGGAGACAGGGATAGATGAGACTGAAGTTTAGAAATTTTGTATTTTCCAGTTGGAATGAAATTGGATATTCATATTCAATTAATTGACGATATTTTAATTTGATAGGTTTATTTCAATAAATTTGATGATAATATAACTATTTTGTTTAATTTCTTTACTTTTAATATCTAAAAACGTCTAAAAAGGACAATTAAATTAAATCTAAAATAAAACTGAAAAATTGGGATTTCAAATTAAAATTCTGAACGAAGTAAAGTATTACATGTCCATGTTGACATAATTTGCTGCGTTCACTACTATGTTTTACCGATGGATGTATAAATTATATAACTTGAATTAAATATCCCGAAATTTTACAGGTTGTGCATGACTGTCGAGAAATATTATTACAGAGTATTTGTGATGTAATAAACTAAAAGATGAAAAATTCGGAGTTTATTGATACTATTTGACATTGACACTGACAGTAAAATACCCAGTTTTGTGAATCAACTCAAAAGGAGTGTAATGTAAACAGAGCTTAATTTGTTTACTGTTTTATTCCTATTTTCTGGTTCTGTTGACCTTTATTTGTGCAAGTGTATTAGTAATAAAAATCTATTTACATTTATTGTATAAGATTTATATGCAATCTATACTATCAATATAAAAATATTTGAAACCACTTCGCCAAAATGTGTGAAGTTATAGTTTTGTACGAGGGATATTCGGTAATGACCGGAAAAGACCAAATGTCAGCTAATTGCAGTTGTACATTAATTAAAGGAGTTAATAATATTATAATAGACACGATGACTTCTTGGGATGGTCAAAAAATTTTAACTGGTAAACACGAAACACGCCATTACCTATTAAAATATTTCAATTAGGCAGGAATTTTTATCTTTTATTTTGTTACAGCATTAGCTAAAAATAATGTAAACCCGGAAAACATAAATTATGTAATTTGTACTCATGGACACTCAGATCACATTGGTAACAACAATCTATTCTTGTTTGCAAAACATATAGTTGGCTTCAGTGTCTCATACAATGATGAATATCACATGCATCCTTTTGATAAAGGTAAGAATTTTAACTTCAATCTCCACTCTAACCATGTTATAAAAGACAAATTATTCAGAAAAGTCTGATTTCACATCTTACCTGTTCTAGGGGAGGAACTAAGAATTGATGACAATGTGAGAGTAATACCTACCCCAGGTCATACACTTTCCGATGTCACAGTGCTTGTTAAAGCTGTTGGTGGTGCAACAATAGCTATAGTTGGTGAGTACAATGTCAACGCTGAACAGGAAATTTATACTCAATATGTTGTTCAATAACACATATTATCTATATGTTTGTTTTAGGAGATTTATTTGAAAAATTTGATGATATACAAAATCCGAATTTATGGATGGAAGCAGGCAGTGAGGATCCAGTTCGCCAAATGCGCAACAGGTCCAAGGTGGCTAACTTGGCTGACTGGATTGTACCTGGTCATGGACCACAGTTTCAGGTCACAGACCAAATACGACAGACTCTTAGAAAACAAATCGGTCCTAGTCATTAGTAAATGTGTTATAATATTAAAATGATTTTATCGTTTTAGATAAGTTTAAAATAATCAATAAAATTATGAAAAATGGCCTACAATATTTTCTTTATTACAGTTATTACAGAGAAAATAATGTGTAAAAAATCTTGTATTGAGAAGTAGCTATGCAATAAGGCTTAATTTATAAATAAAAACCAATTATAAAGTTCAGAGTTTTAATACACATAAAGAAATTCAATTTGCCAAGTTTTTAAAACCAAGCAGATTAACTTTACACAAACACAACTGATGAGGACATTTGTAATATTCAGTGGGTATAAAAATTTATGGAAAATTCTATTTTCTAGCCATTTTAATCTTGACAGCTTGAGATCAAATTATTTATTAGTAAAATACTATGTCTATGTAGGTAATACATATGATATGAGACATTACAAGCAGTTTGAAAGATGTTATTGAAAAAATATATTTTTATAAATATGAAATGCTCAATTTGAAGAATGTACAGTTACATACAAAAGAGTTCCATACCCTTAATTTTTGTTACTAAAAGTACTGAAATAATGAGGTATTCATGCGTCGCGAAAATACTTTATGAATACATACTACTAATAGTATCATTTGCAATAATACAAGGGTAAAATAGCTTATGAAATTAACTTGATGCAGACATATGTTTTTTTTTTGTAAGTTGGCAACTGAAATTTTTTTAGTTCATTTTACAAATCTAATATTAGAAAATAAGGATAAGGTTTTTAAAACCACTTTATGAGTAATAATTTCATTATAACATTATAATCATGGACGCATACGTAAAATAACAAGTCAATTGAAACTCGCATGATTAAATACTAACTACCCTTTCCCAGCAACATAAAATAAATCTTCCATTTGATGGTCAACAAAAAGATCGCAATCAAATGTCCTTAAACAAGCACGATATTCGTTTAATAATAATCAGTAAGTAGGTACATAATAGTAGACTAGATCGTTTAACATGAAAATGGTTTTAAGAGAAGAGTTCGTAAAAAGGCAACTATTGCAATCACGCTAACGTTATTTTTCTTAAAAGGTTGGTGTACATTTTGGTGAAATGAAATAATGCTATTGCTACATTAGGACGTGCTAATACCACGCGGAGGAAAGTCCAAAACGAGATTTTTGTCTATTAAGAAAGAAATAATGTATAACTACAATTAAAATTAACTGCATTACCTAAATCGGGAGTGCTTAGTACACGACTCCCGAGCCTACAACTTTATAATTATTTGCATTGCAGCCATGAATTCTTAATAGTGTATGATCAGATCTCACGCTCACTTCTCATCATTATCACATTAAAATACAAATTCATTATAAATCCAGATAGTGATTTCGTGTAGACATTACGATTTAAGCACACACTGGCCATAACAACACCAACTTACTAACATTTTAACTGTTTATAGTCTTCAGATAAGGCAAAGACTCCATTGAACATAAGGTGGCAAATAGATAACATGACTACGCGTGTCGAAAGTGTAATTTATAAACAGTTAAAATCTCATTTTGCGCAGTAAAGTCATTATAATTATATAAAATTTGTGGCACTCAATTTATAATAGTATTCAATACAAATTTAGATGTTACTACCAGTAATACCTTCCACAGAAATCCTCGTGTCCACTAGTCCTGGCCATAATTGCTGCGTGCAATAATTAAAAAGGAATTTTCTATTAATTATAAATTTTACTATATGCTATTAGAGCAAATTATATATCACAGCCGTGGATCACTAACGCTACAAAGCTCAAACATGCCCATATCCATTCCGAACGTTAATCGATAGCTGCAACCAAAAAAGAAAATACATGAAATATAAACAAATATGTATACATACATTTACGTATAATAAATATGATAAAAATGTATAAATATGTAACTTCAACTTAACAGAATTAAATAATATTTAAATTCATAGTAAGTATGTACATAATATATATACAAAGGAAAATCACTAGGTTTAATTTAAACGTATCAAATCAATACTCAATTTTGCTTAAAAGAAGGTATCACTTGACGATATCGCAAAAGATTATGACATGCTTATGTTATATTGTAAGCATATCAAAAGTCACAACCGACTTCATGGGGATGATGACGTCACAGCGGGAAGTTTACCTGTGGGTCAATACTCGTTGGGACGGGATGTTGTTCGTCGATGCAGAGGTCGGAGTCAGAGTCGGTTCTACGCAGTGAATTATCCTGTGAGAGAACATGTGAGTTTTAGAAAAAAAAAGTAATTTTGACTGTATATCGTTGGTCGATTGCTGAACAAGAACACTTCATAACTTACCGGGTTTATATGTATAGAGTCCGATTTGTACCCGGTTTGCTACAAGTTTCTGTTACCTACATAGAACTCAAATGGAACTGACAAAGTTGGTGTAAGCTATAAACATATTCTTGTCTTGGGTAAAAAAATGATTTTTTTTAATGTTTTCTCATATTTAGCGCTCGAACTTTTTTACAATTACAATTTACTATGGATAGAAAACTAAACATTGTCAATTTTACACTGACCCCTTGCGTATACTGATGAGTGGTAGTGAGAACTCTAGCCAAAGGTCTCATGAATGCTGGTAAAGTCTCGGTGAGTGGCGGCCGAGCGTGAGTAAGTAATGGCTTCAGGAGTTTTGAGTCAACTGCACCCCACAGTCGAGCGAGGCGAGCTTTCTGTCCAGTAGAGCCTTCACCGCGATCTCGAGGTGTATCCTGGTACAGCAAAGGCGAAATAATGTTATTGCTTAAAAAAGAAAATTAATATTAAAACGAAATAGTCATAATAATAAATAGATAATATAAATATATATCATATACTCTTTCTTGTATCGAATTTAGCTTTATTCCAATATAATAAATATTCTGTTTACAAATTTAAATATCATACAGATATAATATTTCATTAGATTCAATGAAATCGATATTTCAATCAAACTCAATGTATGTACAGTTAAAAGTGTCATTGCATAATACAAGTTTATAAACAACTACAGGTGGTATCAATGGTGAATGTTAAAAGTTTTGTCACAAAGCATTAGTAGTTTTATAGAAAAACCTTTTTGATACCACCTGTATTGTAGTTGAGAAGAAAATATTCAGATTATATAAATATACTGTGACACTTGGATAAATGGATTTTAAATCATGATATTACTATTTCCAAACAAACTTAAATTAAAATTGGTCAATTGAATGAAAAAGTTATATTCAAAACATACATAGATAGTTAGAGTAAAAGAATTATTACACACATTTATCCAAGAAACACTCAAGGGGTTATAAAATTAATTGTTTAATACAAAACATTCACCAAATACATGCATGGATGTGTGGTTATATGCACAATGCTATGTATTTCATGCATGTGAGTGGTAAATAGGTGTATAATTATATAATAATATAGTAAAATATTAACATACTTCGATACCGTTTAGTTCCCAAGGCATAATCACCTCCTTCGCTCCGTTAGCCCACTTAACTACCATGCGGCCTCTCTAGATATTAAAAGAAACCAAACAAAGCGATAAAGTAAAAGTAAAATTCATGCACGACACAACGCTACATTTATAATTGAATCATATTGTCAACGTGCGACAAAAAAGTATTTAATATTCTCTATAAAAAGTTAATAGAAAATTGTTTCAATTAAATTGCCCCTTTAACCTTGTAATAAATATTGTGTTAAAATTGTGCTGTTAGTTCCCGTGAATGCTTGACATGTGCTACGGTTAATTTCTTTGTTAGTATTTTGTATTGTTTTAGTAAGACTCGTGCAGTATTTGTAATGCGTGCATGTATCTATTAGTCTTACTGCTGCCCTGTCGCAACTGGCTGGTTGCGTTGAGTCCATATTACGTAGGCCGAAACCTATGTCAGCGGGCTGAACAAGAAAACAGTATAAATACGTGTTAATGTAATGCTAAACAAAAATGACCCTTACATATAAGGACGAAAGAGCTATTGCAGATACTCTTTGAAAATACGAATCGTGTGGTGTGTAAAATTAGTTGGTATTGATTTTATTTGAGGGTGATGAGGTTCGCAGTTTCAAAGTTATCTACAATATTGTCACATATAGTTTGGTACACGAAAATAACATTGATGTGTACTTAAAGTGACACTTATCTAATGGTTTAAATGAATCTGAATGTGAGACATTCATAGAAACCTTTTTCAAATATTATCGTTACAAAAAGTTCTCGGTTTTACTGCAAGAAGAGCGTTTCAGCAACACAGGTTCTGTTAAGTGAGTTACGGATACTTGAAGAAGGTTTTAATTCACCGTTTCTCAGCCTGAAGATCACCGTTAGGTTACAAATAAATTTCGACAAACACCAATTTACCATGTATTAGTAATGACAAAAGTATGACCACCATTGTACCGGGAGCACACAGTAACTTTAAAAGATTGAGAAACGTATCAAGAATGGTAAGCGCGATGTATGAACATCCAAAGCTCCATGAAAGTGCAAACATAGCGCTATGAATACGTACCGGTCCAGCAGAGTCCGTGGCCTGGTACAGCTGCCACAATAATGTCTTATTAATCACATGCTTGCCCGTACCGCACGCTTCTAACGTGCCTTATGAGCCAATGATACGAGTGCGCGTCTTACAGTGCTCTCATGACGTTTATTAAATTATTTTCATACAAAATATTACCCACTCTGTGTTCCAAGTGCATTTGTGTAACATTTATTTATAATGTATTATAATACAAATTTTCAGTCACCACTTAGTTTTTTAAGCGCTACATATAACCCAAATCCAGGCAAACCATAGTGTAATGGGACTTAGTAATATTTTGTATAAACTTCCATTCATGCCTGATCGGGACAGTATTGCACGATCGGTATTTAAAACTCTTTTTTAATTACATGTTATGCTACTTAAATTATGGATCATTTACCTTGTTTACATAATGGATATTAGGGAAGTAGAAGATTGTTATCACAAAGGAAAAATAAGGCACACATAAAAGCAGCGGTTGAAAATAAATGAAGTACAAAGAGAAGCATTTAGAGAAACAATAAAATTGTTTGCTACAACTTGTAGATAGTATATACTAATTTTGACTAGAAACGTGAATAATAACGGATAAACAAATTACCTGCAGCAAAAAGGCGCGCAAAATGTTTTAAACAAAAACGAAAACACTTTAAAAAGACATTTCAATAAACAAATACAAATGAATGTAGGTATATGAACGAAATTCTATCTAAATAATTTTGCCAATTGGTAAGTGATTTTTTCTACTACTATTAGAAAAATGTGACAGCACTACCTACTTTACAAAGTGTTTTAATTAAAACTTTTATGCAACCCAAAGTTAATTCACGTTATTTACAGTTTAGTATAAAAACTTACGCTTCTCACATCTCGGTAGGGTAGAGCGTCATTTTCGTCGCTGCCAGATTCTCTGCAAAATTAATTTGCAGTTGGAGACATTGAAATTTTTGCAAAAAATACTTACATAACTTTTTATTATAACTTTCGTGGGTCATACCAAATTAATAATTATGTTTTCGGCTTACTCACGTTATTATTTGACTAGTCGACTTCCTCGTCAAATTACGCGAAAAAGCCGAAAACATAGTAATCAACTTACATAAATTGGTCTTTACAATAACATAGGAAGAAATATAAGAATATGTACATAGTTTTAGCAGGCGGCAGTTTCGTTCAGATAAAGAGCGATTTTAAATCTTCTATCAAAATTCATCAAAATCGGCTCAGCAGTTTAGGTATAACAACTTCAATCTCGCTTTTATAGCATTAATTACGTCGAAAAATATACAAACCCTGTAGGTATACGTAGATATGCGAGTGCATGTGTGGCGGCTCCGCCCTGTAGTACTACTGTGGCTATGACAATCAAAGAAGTAGTCGTCAACATAGCTTGCCGAGCTTCCGACACAGTGTTCCGTATAGCTAACGCGAAAGACATCGCTCCTCGTAAACCTGCAATTGTAATTAACGATTAGGCTTTTCCGAATCAGCTTTAGAATGCCGACACAAATGATTGAAAGCTAATCCTCCACTACCGTAGGTCACCGGTGACCTACATATGTTGCGGTTGACATGTTACAGTTAGACCTACAAATGGAATATCTCTTAGTTTTTACCCGACTGCCAAAGAAGGAGGGTAATGTTTTTCGAGTGTATGTAAGTATGTATGTATGTCTGTTCCTTTGTGACCTCCTGTAGCCTAAACGGCTTGATGGATTTTGATGTATGAGGTATCGTTAGATTTGTCTTGATTACGGGAGTGTCATAGGATACATTTTATCCTAAAAGTCCCACGGCATAAAGACATAATAATATTTTTTCTAAATTTCCCTTTAAAAAAATATGTATGCGGTATCATTAGATTCATTTCAATCACGGGAGTAATTAATATAGGATACGTTTTTTCTCAAAATTCCCACGGGAACATGTTAATTCTGCGTCAACGCAAAGCAACTCATGCGTTAGCAAGCAAAAAGATAGGGCGTGGCCTGGCTTGCGGCGCGTGCGGAGGGGGATATGCTCGAGTATACAGCCCGAATGCGGGCACACGCATAAGGGCACACGTCGTTGACGGTCGTCTCTAAATAGCGATTTTTTCGATACTTCATCTACAACATTTTCGTTAAATAAAAACAGCTAAAAAGTTATAAATAAAAAAATATTATTAAAAAAACAAAATACCCGACTGCACACTAAAAAAAGAGTAAAACAAGCCCAACAATACAAATTTACTGAATATAATTTATAAATGTTGATGGAAAGCATCGCAGGCGGGGACCACCTTGACCGCCACCAACGAAAATTCTGCTAAATGGTGCACAACAGAAATGACTATAAATAAGCCTCTGTTGGTCCCCGCCTGCGATGCTTTCCATCAACATTTATAAATTATATTCAGTAAATTTGTATTGTTGGGCTTGTTTTACTCTTTTTTTAGTGTGCAGTCGGGTATTTTGTTTTTTTAATAATATTTTTTTTATGTTTACAAGCTGATAAGATGAAGTGAGTTTTTAAAAATATGGGAGAAAATTGTGAGGATACAAAGGCCTCATCGGCGCAATAGCTCTAGCAATACCCTAATCACATGATCTCGATCATCGATGTGATTCCCTCGAGCCTCAGCTAATTCAATATATGGTCCATATATGGAGACATTACAACTCTACAAAGCTTGTTAAAAAGTTAGATGTTGCTGAATCACCCTGTTTGTGTTTCAATGACGAAAATCCCAAAGAGAATTATTAAAAGTAAATTGTAAAATAATAACTCACCAGAGAAGAATAGCATGTGTTGGAAATTCATCGGTATCGGTGGTTTTCGTCCAAGATTGAGTAGGAACGATAGTGGATAGATGTTGACGGCGCGACCTAGAACTGAAGTTACCTGTTTTGTGCTAAGGAACATTATTATTAGTAAAAACAAAACTATTTTTAAAGCGTTTTATTATGGAATTGGGCAGACGGGTCAGATCGGACTTAGAATTCGCAGCGATCACCGCCACACATAAACCTATCCATTTACTCGAATCCTAAGAAGTCCGCTTCCGACGAACTTAACATCAGAAAAGTAACAACCTAACCTCTGTATTTTAAAAATGTTTTTATTTCCTTAAAAGTCAAATTATGTCTTATATCCTACTTTATATTATGAAAGCATTTAATACTCAATACTCAATAAGTGTTACACATTCATAATATTAGTAGTAGAAATACAATTTAAGAACTCGGCTCAAATGTAGCTGCTGTCTGTCACTGCAAAAAATGTAGTTACTAGTTTTAAATCTGTCTACTTTAAAATAAACCCAGAATGATAGATGATAACAGTTTTATTAAATTGATGGATGGTTGTTCTAAGTGACAGTTATACAAGGTCACGCGGTGCGTATATTCATCTTTACAACGGCTAACTTCTGATAGCTTTGACGGTTTCTTTCGATTACCTGCATGCGTATAGGGGATATTGGCATGCAAAAGTTTCTATTTTAGTTTTGTTATAATTAAGCTAAAAAACAATCGTTTTTGATGTCTACATATTTAGTCCTCTAACATAAAAATAAGTCGCACAGCTATACAATAAACTAACTCGCCTTCATACAACGCTTTTTGCAACTTAACATTTGGGTTACTGAAGTTAAGGCGAGGAAGTCAGCCCTGGACTAGTTCAGATCTAGATTATTTGCGAATGACCCCACGGGATGAGTGGAATAAGTGGCTTGAAAAATATTCTAATGTGGCTGAGTTACTTAAATTGCGACACGCGTCGATTGTTGCTGATAAAGTCATTTAGATATTTAGATGTGAATAATACTAATTAAAAGAGCATGATTCAAGTTATATTTTTTACGAAATCTTACTCATAAAATGTATTACTGCAATCTCAAAACAAGAAGTTGAATGTTCAAATAATTACGGAGACTTAATTACATAACATAAGACTGCTCGTAATGCTCTTGGATAACCCACTAGCTATATTTAGTACTTATTTCACATAGCAAACTCGTTTGGTAAAAGGAAAATAAACGGATTATGGAATTTACCCATAATGGGGAATTTCGCAGTTATAAATATAAATATTTTTATGTCAGTTTTAAGATAGTGTAGAATTATAGAATTATCAAATTAATTATTATGTTTAAAGGCTATTATTTTGTTTAAGTGTGGGAGAGCCATGTTTCAGCACGAATAGGTCGGCTTGACTGAAGTAATATCACGGACTTACAGGAAACGACCGTGATACAACCATAGCGTTGTGTTTCGCCCTTTCAGTGTGGTTACCGGAGGCCCAATTCTACTTCCCCTCTTTCAATCCGTAACTCTCCGAAACCATAATATAGTATTTTTATTATAACTTTCGTGAGACATTCTAAATTATTTATTATGTTTTCGGCTTACTCACGTAATAATTTGTAGTATCTCGTCAATTTTATTACGTGAGTAAGCCGAAAACATTCAGCCGGGGTTGCGGGGTAAGCGCAATGAGGTACCGCGACCTCGGCACAGAGCAGGAGAAGGAACAGGGGGGTTTTTAGTCAGTAAGAGTCTGACACTCCCTCCTGCCCGGCCCTGGGCGGGAGAAGTCATTTGATGATTTTCCCCTCACAAAAAAAAAAGCCGAAAACATATACATAATATAGATTTTTGTATTTGTTATTTTGGATGGTATTATAAGTGACATATAGATGTTAAAAGATGGAAATTTGAGGATTAACACCTGTGGAAAACGGGGCCAGCCGCTACCCTATCCGAGATACTGTAAAATTTTATTGAATAGAATAACTGTAGTTTGAAATTAATTCAATTAAATAATACTATATAACCAACGTCTTGCTATTTGGCCTAGATTTAAAATGCAATAAATGTTTCATTATGATAATAAGTAATAATAAAATAAAATCAGTATACAATCCGATCGATATGATATAAAACGTTGTTACTAGTCATCATAATCCTTTTATAATATTATTGGCATTGCAGAAATCGGAATAAAATTGCGTTGCTGACTATGTGGAAAATTGTTTTATAATTGGTAAAATGATTGATGAATAATGGCGCCAGTATATGATTCGATTTCTGCGAAACTCTCTTATCAGACGAAGCGTAGAAACATTAGATACTGGCCGAAATTTATAGCTTGATCATAATTCAATGATCTCTGGATCTGTCTGAGTTAAAACTCTTTACGATTAATGTTAAAGAATCGTTTTTGATTTCGGTCATACGTTTTTACTTTGCGCTTACATTCTGTGAGACTGTTACTTCCCTCTGCTAAGCTGGCTCTAAGATTATTGATTGTGTTATTTAAAAAGGATACAAATCCGGCGATGATGAACCACGGGTCGAAGTGGTGTTTAGGGAAGGTGAACATGGACACGCCGATGTAAGTGAAGATGAAGTTTTCAGCCAAGAAGTTGAGTAACTCGAACAGTTGCTTGGTGCGGTTGCGGGAATCCGATGACAGATTGTTGTAGGTGTAGTGAGCTTGGCAGATACCACAGAATAGTACCGCCACAACACCTGTGAAAATAACAACATTGTAATATAGATACTTATTTGAATTTTTTATATATTTTTTTATTTTGTTCACCATATTTTTTATTGGATTTTCGATCGTATCCAGCTTCTGTACTCGATTTCATACTCATTAGATAAACAAATCTTTACTGATATTATTGAGGAAGACTATATATAGGCTATATATCCAAACGCTACATCCCACAGGAGCGGAGCAGTACCTAACCAAAAACGTGGGTGAAACTACGTGGGATAGCTAGTTAAGTATAAAATCGAATAAAGAAATTTGTTTACCTACGAGCTACTATAGGTATGTATATAAAAATTATGCCTTTCTAGTATGGTAGACAGACCTCACTACATTCCTGACATACATATTTTGCAAACACATCAGTTCAGTGAATAACACTAACTACACAGTACAGTTGTATAAAATTAATTAATTAAGAAACAATATGACCCTCGTAATCACGTATGTAAAGACAATAAACCGAAATGTGTTCACTAGAAAACCGTAATTCTACTACGTAAATGTGGGTCAAAAATATTACTTTATTTCGCAGTGAATTGTTACCTAAATATCTATAACCAGCCTAACTAAAACATTACAAAGAAGGTAAAGAAACTATAGTCTGTGGCGATACCATCGTTATCGACAGAACGAACTAGGTTATTATAGTACGAATTCCATAGCCAGCATATCGGCTTACTTTTTTTATTCGATTTTCGACTATAAAACCTGTACATAAAGTTAAAAATGTATTTGGCAGGTTAGAGTTGAGTACTATACCTCAACTGTCTAACGAGGCAATTAAGCTTGCATGTCACGACTAACTAATTCTTTTACCGCTATCTTATGTCATGTAAATTGGCCGACTACGGAACAGTGCGTATAGGATAGTACAGTTGTACTAAAAAGGGATAGTATTTATTATGTGATTTCGCAGTAAGAAGTATGCAATTGTTCCCAGTATTTGATATTAAGCTTACCTAATAACAATGTAACTAACTTAAACGGTAATACGGACCTAGGATAGTTTACATAAATTAAGCAAAATGTGATCCCGAAGATGATAAATCTGCTGGTTCAAATACAAATAATTATTTTGAAAAATGAAATCGTATCACTGATCTCAAGGGATCCAATAAAATATTGATGATATTAAATAACTTACATGTTTAACAACGCGGGGCAATAATGATTTAATAAATAAATGTTAAGGTTTTTCGGATCAACCGGGTGTTACCACACCACGCAGTGGATAGATGGAATTTAAAATGGTCGATCTCAATATCTTTAAATCATTTTTGGCATTACATGTATGGAGTTTCTGTCAAATTACTGATCGATCGACAAAATTTTGAATTAAGATCGGTTATAATTTCGACCTTTCTTTATTGTAACAGCAATGCTATTAAAGTAAAATTCCTAGGTTAAACTAGTATCGGGGATGTGTTATGTTTAGTTTTAGGGAATCTGGACTTGGTATTTTTAGATGATCTGGTATCTACGGATCCCTTATTGGTGCTGGGGTGGCCATCTGAAAGTTTTTATCTCAATCCCTAGTATTTTCCCGCTAAAAACCTAGGTGACATTTTTAGAGTACTAGCGTTACAAAATATAAACTCGGAAAAAAACGTGCGAACACATAAGTATAAATGAATCATTGTTTTTTATCTTAAGATAAAGTTTACGTGATCGTACACAATAGATTATGTGTAATCAATTCGGAAGTACCAATGGTCTAATAAACAACAGGAAAAATAATATCAAATACCAATTAATAAGCAATTATTGATATCTTTAAAAAGCAATAAAATAAATAAAACTTTTTCAATAAGATCCAATCAAAATTGTACCTTGTTGCAAACAAATTAGATATTATTTTAGTCTGCACTTTACCTGTTAACTCGCAGACTTCAGCAATAAGGAATGCAGCGTAGGACATGAGGACGAAAAGCGCCGACTCCAGTAGTGGCCATTCCCGCACGTGGGTGAACTTTGTCATGTGTGTATTAGTTAAGGAATTATAAATATTACTTTGAAAAATATATATTTAAAATACCTTATATTTAATTAGATTAAAAAATACCCAACATACGGCTAGTTGAGTCCGATAGATCAACTGATAAAATCTTAGTATTACATTTTTTGTCATATAAGTATATTACGCGGTGCCCATTTATGTCAACAACGCCCCGTTGCGCAGAACAGTGACAACTAAAATAGTGCAGTTTTTTTATATAAGCGTGGTCCTGTTACAAAAAAATTTCTCCTGCGTCAGGTCGGGGTTGCATTTACAAAATTTACATTACACATCATTGTCAGACTTAGAACAAAATTTGCGGATCACATAAAGAGTTATTCGATGGGGATATTTGTGAAGTAGTCGGTTGCAAAGCTATCGCGCTAATAACAAAATATAAACGGAAGTTGTGGGTTGATAAATACTTGAAATATCTAAGATAATCTTTGCACTGGGCACGTGTTCATGTCACGCTTTTGATTTCGGGGTCTCGTCAAACGATTCGCACAGTTCATACTTGTTACATCCCCCAACCAAGCGTGAAAGTCAATGGTCATTGTAGCGTCAACTGTTTATTATTAGATAAAATCTGTTTGCCGCAACATTTGAGAGTAATTTCTATTTAGAGCTAGTCTTTTTTATATTTCTGGCTGTCCCAGGAAAATCGTGTCGCCTGGGTAAAGAGTAAGTATGGAAAATTTTTGTCCCTATTTTATGGATACAGATACGAGTAGAATTGACGACTACATTAGTTAATTTTAATTTTATAAGACTTCTTTTTTCTCAAACCTGTAATGTGAGTGAATTATAAAAAAGGATATCAATGCCGTCAAGCATCCCATGAGAGCTCCAACAAGCAGCGATAGGCTGAAGATTCCAATAAAGTCCCCGATCGCTCCCAGGAACGCAGTGATCTCGAATCCACCATCGTTTGAATACCTCAACTCATAGTTTTGTATGGCTCTGTAAAAAATATGTTTGATAAGCCTATCTATTGATAATAATAAATACATTAGATATTAATATCGTACATTTTGGAACTATTCAAGTACATTAACACGATACTTAGATAACGGTCACGTGCAAAAACTTACATACTTTAGCTGTGAAACTAACGCCCAATTTAATACATAAATAAAGCATATCATCAAAAATACCTATTGAATTAATATGTGCTTTTCCTTATTAATAAAATTTCCTTTTACATAAATAAAATTTATTTCCCAACCCATTATATTGACAATGTAATTGAGTCTTACAGATGTGTTAACAATCAATTAATGAAACAGTAATACAATGAACGGGTGGCGTCTCGTTCACTACATGCTTATAAAATTTCTAATACGCCATGTGTGAAGGACGAAACAAATACTATTTGTTTTGTTCTGTAACAAGTTCAGTGTGATACACTTGATACCTGATAACTATTAGGTATGAATAAACGCAACTTGTGTCGAAAAATAGTTGTTTGTTTATGACTCTATTTTTATGGTAAAGGTAACTTTAAACATTAATTTTAAAATATATTAGGTAAACTAATATTTGAAGGCTTCACTTCACTTGTATGTGTATTGCTGAGAACACTAGGATGATTTCAACAGGGCAAGATGTCTACCCCCCTTAGTCTTTTCCCGCCAAAACATAATCGCCTATTAACGGCGTCCGCAGTCATCGTCGGAAAAAAGTATTATTAAATCCAGTAGGTTGAAATTAATAAAAGCATACATTACCCGCTAAGTACAAGAGCCACTGCATCATTGAGAACACTTTCCCCGAATATCATTGCATACAGATTAACATCCACCTGAAACAATATTGACATATTTCTGACAATTCTATCACAATGGGGGGACACCTTGAAAAAAGTCAAACACGTGATTCAGCAGATCTTACTTGATAAACAAGTAAACAGTGTTTGAACGATTGTATCTGATACTTCATTACGATTGTACCTACATTATTATTGTTATATTCAATAACTTATGCGATATTCTTTCATTCAGTAGAAACGCTGTTTAGGTATCTAGATTAAAAACTGTCATTACATTAATTATTAATAATATGTTCCATAGATGAGAAAGTCATTTTGTTTCTAAAAAAACCCTTATTAAGTCATCAAGCAACACTGATCTTTGGAAATAAGTTAAAACTGTGACCAATTATTAGGCTATTTAGGTTTTTGAGTCAGATAGATAAAAATTATAAGATTATAAATAGAGCTTAAGAAATTAGTAATGACTATATTTTTTCCTTCACAATCTACTATTCACACAGTGACTCAGCAAAACTTAATATATAAGTATGAGTTCATTAGATATAAGCCTCGATCCACCCCTTACGAAACTATAAGCCACACATTCTTATAAAGACTAGTTCAGTAATGTTATGTGTGTAATTTGATCGTACATACATATGTGTTAAGAATATGGTGAAACTGATAACGTAGCGGGTTTTTACATGTATGTGGGTATGTGTGTTATTTACGAACACATGTCACTTCCACAAAAGCAATAGCGAGTCAGGTATAATTAGTGTAATGTAGTTTTACATCGCCTCGCATTATTGCTGATATGAATACAACATAGACAAAATAAATTGATGTACTTATCACATTTAATTTTATATGTCGCCAACTTATGTAGTTCTTCAATTTATAGATTTTGAATTTTATTTTTTAATTGGGCTGATAAACTCGCGAAAAGGTCTACTCTGTTTAATACATATACTAAATGTAGATCTTATGCGGAAATAATAGATAAATTATTAGCAATACATTATCCGTCTTACTTAGAAAAGATATTGTCGTGTTTCACATATAGTGAAACAAAATATATGTATAATATATTCACAATAGCTATAGAATTTCTACAACATAATATTCTACAATGCTACCTCGTTATATACAACTTGTTTACCTAATGATCTTCTTTGTAAAGATATATTCACTTCAAAACTGTATATCTACACAAAACACATTAAACAGTTTGTTATGAGTATCTAGATGCCCAAATACCTCATAGGTCAAGTGGTAGCAAGGACGATTGCCGAACCATGAATTTGTATTTGTAATATAGGAAGCTAGGCTTGAATAACCGTTGTCAGGATATGCAATTAGACTTACAATACGGTAGTTTCCAACTAGTCCAATTCAATACTTTTATCCGAACGTCAAAAACGATACATTTCGATGAAAAACTGAGTTATAACGTCATAACATTTTTGCGTCAAATAGCCTTACTTATTTCTTAATAATTAGCTAAACAAAATTTAAAACTTAGTGTATTGATCGATCGATGAATATAAGTATAGTTATTTTTCAATATTTTATTGTATTGAAACGTCGACATAATTTATTTTTGACCTAGGAAACTACCCAACTACTAACATGGGACTAGTATGTATAACTGGTGAAGTTTAGATTGTACATGTCGATGTTCACCACTATCTGTCTTAAAGAGAGTAAAAAGGTGTTAGTTTATAATGAACATTACCTTAAGTTGCGAGAAAATGGCAAGAACAGTCAGCGGATCGGTGGGTGAGATCAATGCACCAAAGTATAAGGTGTCTAGGAAGGTAAAGCTGGATGCGAGGGACGCCGGCATCAGTTGCACGCAGCCGTACATTAGAGACCCAATCACTAGCGCCGACAGCGCCGTGCCAACCATTGCGAACGTTAATATCGCTCCCAAATTACGGAAGAAATATTTCTGCAAAATTGCATAATACATTAATATGTTCATCAGGCAGTTTTTTTACAGTAAAATAGTTGATGGCATTTTATCAAACCATGACATCAAATGATGATGGTAATTTTGATTTTTTTGATATTTGATTTGATTATATCATACAGCGGAAATAGGAGATATGTTTGTCCTAGCTTTGAGCTGAAGGCACGGGTTTTTAGTAAGTAAGAGCCTCTCATCTTACTGAGGGTGGGAATGGGAACGATTTCCCACTGTCAAAAAAGGTATCTCATTAATGCTTACTTTCCTAAACGATAAAAAGTATTAGAAACAAATAATTGGATTATTTATAGTTGTATCACTAATGAAAGAAATAAATTTATTACTATGTAAAACCAGTTATGTGATAGAACTGTTTGATATTTGTCGTAAAACATTAACAGCACATTAAGAAATACTTGACAAATTACACTGGTTCTGATATCTGTTTGTTTGTAAATTATATTTTTAGATATCCTTTGTTTGCTTAAATTTTCACAAAAAAATAAAGAGTAATGATGAAGTGTGGATATGAAGTTTATTCACAGGAAACAAATGTCTTCCTTCATTATTTAAAATCAGAAACCATTTTTACGGAGGATAAAACACATAACCAGACTCCACTGCATATAAATTAAAAAAAAATCTTACCCTTTTAAGACAATATCCAGCATGGAATATAATAGGAGGTAAAATTATATTAAAAAATATCTCAGGATCAAATGTTGCCTTAAGGTCTATCTCATTTTGTTCCACATTTACTATTTCTCCTCTAAAGCTATAGGCATAAGTCTTGTTTGGTACTGGTGCATCTGTATAAAAATAAAAACATTATTTGTATGTATTTAGTTAAAAGGAAACATGAGGAAGGTGTTATTCAGTACATAATAATCAGTTTCAATGTATGAATTGTATGGGTAACATTCCATTGATCCATAGGAAAAATTTTGATCCAGCGAAGTCATTACAGTGGTTATAATAAAAATAATTACAAGGCCATATTGTTTGGCTTACAAGTATGTAAATTAAAAACAAAAAGTTCACATAAAAACCGTCTGTTTGTCAAGCAATTCACAATGTTGACTACACATACAAAAAAACCTTTATAAGACTAGAATAAAATTAATAATTTTTAGACTGTTTTATAGGGACTATAATAACTTATTTCGACCTTAATAATTTGCAGGAAATAATTTAAAGAGATGATTGTAGAAACAGAGGTATATCTTTTTTTACTTAACCTTGACCTCTCAAGTTTTATCAGAGAACAGAGATAATAAACATCAATACAAATAATGTGGCAGAATTTTAGTTACATTACTTGGTTATATGATACTTTTAAAAGTTGATTTAGCTGTGTATTTAGATATCAAAGAGTTTGAAGTGTAACTTCCTGGCTGGCCAAAAGATTATTAGGATTGCAATATTTTTTTAATAATTTTATGATTGCTGGACTTACACAGCATAAAATGTGCACTTCAAGCCCCAAATAATATAGCTTTGCTGTGATTGTATGTAAGCTTACCTCCTGAAGACACCTGCATCTTATCAGGGAAATGCAGGCGTAACATGTCTGGTGGGACAGATAGATTGTACTTTGTGTCTGGTGCAGGGTGCACATTGATGTAGGTAACTTGATTTGTACTAGCTGCATAGCGAATTATTGCTCCTACAATTAGGCCTGTGGAAGAACAATTTTATCTTTTATAATAGGTAGGTATAATTTTCTTTTCAACCACCATAGTTACACTGATTACAGTTTTTTTAAACTAGCTTCAAATTATTGAATTTAGTAGCATCGGTTTTTGTATAATATTCCAATAATATTAAATTACTTATGTAAGTTAACAGATTCCTAAATAGTAAATAATGAAAAACATTTTTTTTTCTTGTAACATGTATTAGGCAACAACTTCCTTTGTACAGCCAAGCATCACTGCCTGAATGTACAATTAAAATGTTATGTAAACAATAATAGAATTTGCAAACCAGTACTTAAAACTAGTGACTTGCAGAACAGGTAAATTATTAAAACACACTTTTAATTTTGATTCAGGTATTTTATAAAAAAAATGCGATAGAACTATTTACAAACATACATTTCACTAGGTACCCCTTTTTATGTAATCTTTAAAAATGGTAACATAATACCTTAAATGACATCTGTATTTGGTTCAACTTTCATTGTGAATTCAACATACTAAAATATCCATACAGACTAGTTTTTGTGTATATATACAAATACACAAACAGCAATTCAGCGGCAGATAGGTACATAAAGGTAAATAATTTACGTCAAGGTCTCGAACATCATATAGTTGAGTGATCACATGACTGCTAAGTAAAATACCAATAATTGATGCTCAGTATAAACTTAAATTCACTCACCATATATTACAGCAAGTCCTGTTTCGTGAAGCCAGCTCACACGACGATGTTTAAATACCCAAATTGTGAGAACAGTTAGCGTTAACAGACAAGTATATATTAAAAGATTTAAACTGTCTATTCGATGTAGAAGTGTGGCTTTCGCGTCCAGCGCGATATCTGTTCCAGACCCCTGACATTGTGCCACCAAATACAGGAGAATCGACGCAAAATTCAAGAAGATATTCATGATTTTTATTGTAATAAAAATAACGTCGTCATATCACAAATACGCACGCACAATTTCCACCAATTAAGTACTACTGACACACTGAACTGATAGTTATAAATACTCATACACGTGAATATTAAACAAAATCAAATTAGATTTCGTTCTAGAAAAATAGTCAATACAATTTTTGTACAAGAACCAGCCGTAGAGACAACCGTGAGCGAGATTTAGAAATAGCAACTGTCAAACGGAAAATGTTTAAAATGTCAATACTGCGTTCCATTATATGATAGTATTTTGATGCTTACTTTATCAATAGTTCTAAAATAGTGCATGTTTGCAATGGGAGTAAATACAAAATTTAATTGTTCTTTACAACCTTTTTTCTCATTCAAAAAAACTTTAATAAAAAAATGATATCGATATGTTGTAACAGTGTACAAGGAGCTAAAGAAAAACAAATGCTAAAGGTGTAATTATACTAGATCTGGAATGACTCGCTGCTATCGATGTGATTGGTTTGTTGTAATGACAAATAATGACTTTTGATTGGCCAAATGACGACCCGGGATATTAAGGATTTATTCAAAATCAAAATATTGATCGAAAAGTAAGTAATGAGTACATGAGAATTATTCATTAGAAGCTTGTATACAGTTTTATAAATATTTATGAGTGTTTTTAAGGTGGGTAAAATCATCAATTGATTTCTCCCACCTGGCTGCGGCGAGAGGGAGTGCCAGACTCACCGACTAAAAACTACCCTGTTGCTTCAACCTTTTAGTCCATAGACATTATTGCGGTTTCACCCGCAAACCTGTCTGGACATTTGGCGGCGTTTTGAGACGCGCGTGTAACATGACGCGCCGTAGGTTCGAGTCTGGATCTGGTCGGGAGCGCTACCCTTGCTCGTCGCCCACCTGTACCGATCGTTTCTTAACCTGCACTATGACCATGGTACACGGAACACGGCCGTGTTTAGTCTTAGTGGAGGCCATGCCACCATATGCTTAACCGGGTCATCCGGTGGTCCTCGCAGTGACTATAAGTACCCGAGCTTTTGCTGATACCGCATAAATCGAAACAGATAACTTGCGAAACTTATTCCCGAGACCGGCGGGCACCTGTACCTGTTGACGAGGGTTGCTAGTCCTCAAAGCGGAGACTAACTGCTGCTTTAACTTTGTGAATTACTATTACTACTTATTATAAAACAACATCGCTTTTCTGTATGATTTTGATGCGATTATTTTAATAGGCAAAGTTATTGAAGAGTTAGGTTTATATTTATGTAGGTTTAATAACATAGTGGGTATATACCTACATTAAATGGTGGAGCATTTTATGTAGGTATATCAATTAAATGATTTCTTTTTCTGAAACAGTCGGAGTTATAGATAGATAATATAGATAACCTAAAGTAGGTACCAACTTATCTTACGAATTCAATCACGAAGTTTTTTTTTTTTTTTTTTTTCATTTCCTGGATTTGAAAACCCGGCTTTAGTACCTAATTTGTATTTATAAAATTAACAACCTGTTTCCATAAAAGTATCTAAAATTGGGTCAGTTTATAAAACACATATTTACAACATGAATGGAATATACTGACAATAATTAATTAGTATAGTAATTAATAATTTTTCGGTACTTTGTCAGCATACTTAGATACCTATAGGTACTTTGGTATACACACCTATAAGGTACACTCAAACAGAATGAACCATGGAATATCTTGCAGTTTTTCAAAGGCTAACTCGCTATTGATTATTATTCTTGTATTTATGGATAGTATTTATGATTGATACCAAACTACTCTATAACTAATTGCACTACCTATACATTGTTGCAACACGGTAGTACACGTAAAAATGTCTAAGGCTTATCCAATGTTAAGGATACTCAAGTTAATCAAGCATTAATAAAAAACAAAAATGTTATGGCGGGGACCAACAGAGGCTTATTTATAGTCATTTCTGTTGTGCACCATTTAGCAGAATTTTCGTTGATGGCGGTCAAGGTGGTCCCCGCCTGCGATGCTTTCCATCAACATTTATAAATTATATTCAGTAAATTTGTATTGTGGGGCTTGTTTTACTCTTTAATTAGTGTGCAGTCGGGTATTTTGTTTTTTTAATAATAATTTTTTTATTTATAACTTTTTAGCTGTTTTTATTTAACGTTACTCCCGTGATTGAAATGAATCTAATGATACCGCATACATATTTTTTTAAAGGGAAATTTAGAAAAAATGTTATTATGTCTTTATCCCGTGGGACTTTTAGGATAAAATGTATCCTATGACACTCCCGTAATCAAGACAAATCTAACGATACCTCATACATCAAAATCCATCAAGCCGTTTAGGCTACAGGAGGTCACAAAGGAAAAGACATACATACATACTTACATACACTCGAAAAACATTACCCTCCTTCTTTGGCAGTCGGGTAAAAATAAAACAAAATTACTTAGATAGAATACGACATGAATTCTGTGCGAGTCGGGTTGCTGCTTGGAATCCTTGATATCTTCAAAACCTGGTAAATCTGTCTAATGAATATAATGAACAAGCCCTCGCATTATAATAATAAATGTAGGTACCTATAGCAGATTGAATATTGGGTGAAGTTGGTATGGTACATGTTACCTTCCTACCAAATTCAATTGTTTTAGCGTTGCACCGCACTAATATATTCTGCTCTTTTTATGTGAGGGGAAAATCATCAAATTACTTCTTCTGCTCTATGCTGAGGCCGCGGTATCTTATTGCGCTTGTTTCGCAAACCCAGCTGAATATCATCCCTCTAGGGCCCCGTTTGTGGTGTAGTGTCTGGTCTATTGGCACATTGAGGCGCGCGCAGAACGCAACGCGCCATACGTTCAAGGAAGGGCTAGAAAATCATACAAAAAATCGACTAAGTGACGAGTATTTATAAACTTTTAATTTTGTCTAAACCTTTTGGCAACCCCACGTTTGCCATCTATCCGACTTTAGCCACGATAAATAAGCTAGCTAATGATAATGGTTAAATGTATAACTGAACATACAAATCTTAGCTCGGGTCTGGTTCTGCTCGGCTATTTTTGCTCGCCTTCCGCAGATATTCTGCTCCAGTAAGACTGGTGCATTTTAACCGACTTGAAAAAAGGAGGAGGTTCTCAATTCGACGCGTATTTTTTTATGTATTTTTAAACACACAGTTCAGTTCACATCTACATAGATCTGCAGCAACATATTGTGGTCACGTCTAGACATTGTTTATCACACAATATAAATTGACACCTAGTATACCAAATGCTGATCGTCCAGCCATAGCGCTAAAACTGGTGCAGGGCAATTTAATATCATCAATCATATCCATTATTATTATCCTAAGGCGTCATAAAATTATTAATTAATTAGCAATTTATGTTTATTATAGTCTTAATCATTTCAGTTTCGTTCGTGACGTGTTCTAGTTTTATTGCATTTGTTATGTAAATGAAGCGTTATGTACCTACCTACCTATCTGTCTAGTCTATCTAACTCCATATTAGTAGTTATTTATATAATAACTGTGTCATATTATCTTTGTAAACTGTATAAGGACACACTATTGTAATTCAGATAACTGCTTTATTGGGGTACATAAGGTGAATTTATCTCCGGTGAAGTATCACATATATAATTATTTACCGCATTATAAGGTAAGGTGGGAAATCCAAAATTATTTTGTATACAATGATTTGCAATTTTATGAATCGATCAATACGGTAGAGTAATGGAAAATAAGCTTGTTGAAGGTTTAGAGAATACTAAGCAGTTTATACACCGCTAACCATTCTTTCTATTTAGCTCATGTGGTACCTATAGGCAGGTCATCTCAAAGCTGGCCTATAAAATAAAAGAAAGACACAAGTGTGGGAGAGCCATGCGTCGTTACTATGGGCGGGCTTGGCTATAGCCTATAGTGGTACCACGGCCTCATAGAAAAGCGGCGTGAAGCAACACTCACGTTGTATTTGCCCAATCCTTCCCCCCATGCCACAAATCCCCTATCCTTAAAACCCTTAGAACTGACAAGAGGTAGGCAACACACTGCTAGTAACTCATTTGGTATTATGAATGTCCACGGGTAGCGCCGTTTGTGCACTTAGGTATCAATTTAATTCGAAGTAGCTTATACATAGATTCGTAGCCATCGATCTAAAGATATTGGCTCGTTCTGTGTTGAGCAATTTCAAGGCTTTGCCAGTCCGCAGATGCAGACAAAGCGACTACTTATTGCTAGTATCTGTGTTTTTATTGTTTCCACTCATAAATTAACATTTACACTTTCGCTTCTTTATAATTATAATGGAATAATAAACTATTTATATTCATCGAACATCGATCGTGTAAATGGATTTTATTAACATAAAAAGATTGATGCAACTTAGATATTACCAGAACTCATTGACCTCAAAATAAACAATTAATTTTGTCAGCACTATTAGCACGGTACCTCGACAAGGTGGTTTAAGTGTGGGAGAACCAAGCTTCGGCACGAATGGGTCGGCTCGACCAGAGTGATACCACGGCCTCACAGAATACCGGCGTGAAATAACCACAGCGTTGTGTTTCGCCGTATGAGTGAGGTTATCGGAGGTTCCACTATCCCTTCCCGATCCTTATATCCGCAACCACTATCCCCAAAAGGCCGGCAATGCACTCGTAACTCTTTTGGTATTGCGGGTGTCCATGGGCGGCGCCGATTGCTTACCATCAGGTAATCCGTCTGCTCGTTTGCCGACTTATACCATAAAACAATGAATGGAAAAAGAATCTTCTATGGCTTAAAAAAAACGGCTTACAATGTAAGTATATACCTTAAATATAAAACTCTTTTTTCGGAAGTCGTTTAAAAAGAGAGTAAGTATATCTTAGTCTACACATGTTTGATTCATCTTTTCTCTTTTTACTTTTTGCTTTGTTTTCTCTTTCTAAGTTACAATATGTTTGCTTAACTGTTCTTAAACATGTAGAAAGTATTTAAATACAACACAAAATACTGCAGTACCTGGAGATCCGTAACACAGGGTTTCGCTAGTATGAAGTCCAGTCTCTCGCAAAGGAGCTTATCTTGTAGGTACTTTTTATTTAGTCCTAGGATGACATTTATAAGCTAACCTTTAAAATAAATTTCATAATCATTTATTTATTATTCTAGCGCTCCAAGTGTTAGTGCGACTGACGAGATGAAAATATTATGTTGC